GCCATAGCAAATGAGACAAATGAGACAGACTAAAAGCGAGACAGAAACAAATGAACAAAATGTGTTTTGTTCAATGTTCAATACAATGTGTTTCATATAAAAGAAACATCTTAAAGTATGTCAGAACTTGCATTTTTACAGTGCATTTAATGTAAAACACAATGGCCTTAAAAGGTGATCCCTTTATATCCAGCTGAATCATAAGAGACAGGATGTAAGTAATCAAAAGAATCATAAATAATCCTTACATCTGATTTCTAACCTTAACCTATTCAGCGCCTTGGGACGTCCTCCCGACGTGAAAGGCGCTCTATAAATGAAATCTTTTTGTTGTTGTTACACAGCAGGAGGACATCTCAAAGTGCTTGACAGGATTTTTACTATAAAGTGAAGTGACTATTTTGAAGGCAAACAGATGATCATAACATGATAGAATTTAGTATTAAGTTAGAGAGCGATGTAGTCAAATTTAAATAAAGCTAAATTTGCAGGTATGAGGGAAGAATTAGCTAAAATCGACTGGGGAATTAGATTAATGGATATGACAATAGACCAATAATGGCAAACGTTTAAAGATGTAGTGCATAATTCTCAGCAGTCACATATTCCCTTGAGGAATAAGAGTACCACAGGGAAAGCAGTTCATCTGTGGCTAACTAGAGCAGTTAAAGTATAAAACTAAAAGAAAAGGCCTATAAAACTGCCAAAGAGTAGCAAACCTGAGGACTGGGATATTTTAGGGACCAACAAAGGAAAACCAAAAAGCTCATTAAGAGTGAGAAAATGGATGATGAGGGCAAGCTGGCTAGGAACATTAAGACAGATTGTAAGAGTTTTTATAAATACATTAAGAGGAATAGGCTAGCAAAAGTAAATGTGGGTCCACTACAGGCAGAGACAGGAGGAATTATAATGGGGGATAAGGATATGGCAGAGTCCCTAAATAAATACTTTGCTTCTGTCTTCACGTTAGAAGACACAAGAAGTTTACCAGAAATAGAGATGAACCAAGGGGCTAATTTACATTAGCAAAGAATTGATGCTAGGGAAATTGTTGGCATTAAACAGTGACAAGTCCCCTGGACCTGATGGTTTGCATCCTAGGGTTTTAAAAGAGGTAGCTCATGAGATAGTGGAGGCCTTGTGTCTGATCTTCCAAAATTCTTTGGATTCTGGAATGGTTCCCATTGATTGGAAGATTGCAAACGTCACACCACTATTTAAGAAGGGTGGGAGAGAAAAGATGGGGAACTATAGACCAGTTAGTCTGACATCGGTGGTAGGGAAAATTCTAGAATTCTTAATTAAGGAAGTCGTAGTGGGATACTCAGAGGATCACAATATGATTAGACAGAGTCAACATGGCTTTACAAAAGGGAAGTCATGCTTAACAAATCTTTTAGATTTTTCTGAGGACATATCAAGTAGATTAAATAGGGGGGAATCAGTCGATGTAGTGTGTTTAGATTTCCAAAAGGCATTCGATAAGGTGCCGCATAAAAGGTTGATCCACAAGATTAGGGCCCATGGAATTAAGGGGAATATATTAGCATGGATTGAAGAATGGCTAACGGGAAGAAAACAAAGAGTAGGTATAAACGGGTCCTTTTCAGATTGGCGGGATGTGACTAGTGGTGTTACAAGGATCAATACTTGGGCCTCAACTACTTACAATCTATATCAATGATCTAGATGAGTACATCAAACTTAATATATCCAAATTCACGGATGACACTAAACTAAGAGGGAGAGTAAACACCGAGGATGACATTAAAAAATTGCAATGAGATATAAATAGGCCAGGTGAGTGGGCAAATAGGTGGCAGATGAAGTATAATGTAGGGAAGTGTGAAGTTATCCATCTAGGTGGCAAAAACAGTAGAGCAGATTATTTTTTAGAAGGGGAGAGACTAGATAGTGTTAGCGTTCAGAGGGACTTGGGTGTCCTTGTACACCAGTCACAAAAAGTTAGTTTGCTGGTACAGCAAGTGATTAGGAAGGCTAACGGTATGTTGGCATTTGTTACAAAAGGGTTAGAATATAAGAGTAGGGAAGTCTTGCTGCAACTGTATAGGGGCCCCAGTGAGACCGCACCTAGAGTATTGTGTGCAGTTTTGGTCTCTTTATTTAAGAAAGGACGTACTTGCCTTGGAGGGGGTACAAAGTAGATTCACTAGATTGGTACCTGGGATGAGGGGGATGACTTATGAGGATAGGTTGAGCAATTTAGGCCTATATTCTTTAGAATATAGAAGAATGAGAGGTGATCTTATAGAAACCTATAAGATTATAAAGGAGCACGGCAGAATAGACAGTGGGAGACTTTTTCCCTGGTTGGAGAAACTATAACCAAGGATCACAGTCTTAAAATTAGGGGTAAGCCTTTCGCACTGAATTGAGGAAAGACTTCTTCACTCAGAGGGTAGTGAATTTATGGAGTTCTCTACCCCAAAGGGCTGTAGATGCTCAGTCCCTGAACATATTCAAGACTGAGATTGATAGATTTCTTGTGGATAAAGGGATTAAGGGATATGGGGATAAGGCGGGTAAGGTGGAGTTAGAATAGGTCAGCCATGATAATGAATGGCGGGGCAGGCTAAAGGGGCCGAATGGCCTACTCTTGCTCCTAATTCTTATGTTCTTATGATCTGGAAATAAACTTGTATTTAATATTGAATGCTTTTATAAAGCAATGCCTCACACACAATAAGGTCAGGAGTTACATTAATTTAAATTTGGAGGTGAATTTGAATTGCGGAGAAACAGTAGCCAGGAACCTCTAGTGTGGCTCAGGACCAAAGGACTTGCAGTGTGCTGCAATATGGCTGTTCAGCCATTTGATGGCAGCAATGCTCCATCCAAACCTGCTAAATTTATAATTGTGCATTTAATACAGAGCCCATCAATTCAAAGTTGTCTCAAAACACTTCACAATTAATTGCTGTCAATTTTAATGACAGAATTGTAGAAAATCACCGCAGCCAATTTGCATACAGCAAGGTCCCACAAATAGCCAAATGGAGTGAATGATCAATTTACCTGAAAGATTGTTGGACAGGAAACTAGGAGAAACTCCGTTCTATTTTTCATTATTATGATGTGCAGATGAACAAACAAATGGAGCCTAACAATGAAACAGGTTGCAAGGTGTGGTGAAGGCCAGGTCACAAGACTTGTGTAAAAAAGCGGCTTGATGCAGTGATCGGCGGGGGGTGTTCTGGAAGCTTTCTTCATTCAAACCAATGATGTGATCTTGTGGTGTGTCAGCCTATGGTTCAAAATGCTGAATCCAGGCTTCCAAAAGATGTACTACTAAATGCCAAGCTGACACTATATTTATCAGGCCTCTATAGGATGAACAATAACTAGAGGAAGAGGGAGAAGGGGTTTGCAGGAATGTCTGTTCAGCTATATGAGACAGGGGTGTGGGAGGTATCAGAATTTTACACTGAAGTTATATCAGAGTACAGTATTTCAGTGAGGAGGTAGGTCTAGATTGCAGGGTTTGACCATTTTCTTTTTGTCATTTATTTCTTAAAACTAAAAGGGGAAGATAAGATGATCCGATACACATCTTCAACTGGAGATTTCTGAAAATGTTGTTTGAGCAAAAGGTAATTAAGGCATTTTGTTTATGCTGATTATTATAAAAGACCAAATCCCTCAGAGGTTTACAAAATTCCTGTTTTCAAAATGTTTCAGAGAAGTCCAATAATACTGTATGTACTGCATGGTGTGAAAACATCTGGTGCAGATGGCTTTACTGCAAGAGCTTGAAAGCAGACAGATAAGCTAGAGCCGGGATTCAACCAACTATTGCTACAATGAATAAAGCAAGTGTGCAATTGAGAAGTTTGCAAACATCGCAATAGAGATAAACTGTCACAAACTTGAGTCGGACAGCACTCACTTAGTTTCACCAGACTCTAGTTGATCTCTAAGCCAAGCCCCATACAAACATATTCACTGCCGAATGCGATTGACTGGTACTTTGGAAAAGTGTTTTATTTAGTCTATTCGAAACTGGTACCCTGATTTCTGGCAGAAAGTTTCCTAGGCAATCCGATTTGATAATAAATAATAATAAACCTTGCACTTTGATATAGGGCTTTTCACGTCTTCTAGACGTCTCAATGCGCTTTACAGAACATACTGTAAAGTGAATTGACTGTATAAATTGTGGGCAAAATGCGGCAGCCTATTGCGCACAGCAGTGTCCCACAAACAGTCGTGGATTGAGATGACCAATTGTTTTTTTTCGAGGGATAAGGCGTGTGGAGTAAGGAAATTTGCCCAAAGTTTCACCCTCTCGGGAATCAAACCGAGGTCTCTCGCTTGTGAGGCGAGTGCTCTAACCACTGTGATGTTTTTGTAGAAAAAGTAATATTGTTCTTCAAGACCGTAGATTTCAACCCTGCAGTGGAAGTCGTTGTTTCTACAAAGCTGCACAGCGTCTTTTGTCTTCATTGCTTGCAGCAGACAATGAACACCACACCCTTGTTGCTTCTGTTGCAAATTACCCAGTGAATCCTCCAGTGGTGCTGTACAAACCCTCAATTCAGGCCAACAAGTATAAATAACTCAGCCACATCCTAAAAACATCAACCCTGTGAGCTTCAAAGCACAGGATAACCATTCCCTGAGTATACTAACTTTTCACAGACTGTTTAAAAGAAGCCTGAATGGTGATTTTTAAGCTGCTAAACTCTGTCTTGTATAATTTATTTTTTATTTTCTATCTTTAATTTGCATTTTAACATTCTGATCTGCATGTAGTATTTTTAGAAATTTAGTTTGTAGATTTAAATTATAATTGGAAAACATTACCGTCTGTCAGACTAATTTTGCTTCACAATGTAATATCTGGCTGATAATAATAATCCTTGCATTTGATATAGCGCTTTATCACATCTCAAGACATCTCAAAACGCTTCACAGAATATACTATTAAATGAGTTGCCTGTATATTTTGTGGGCGAAACAATGATGACATCTGATCAGGAAGTAAGCTTAAAAACATTTACTTAATTTTAGAAAACCTTTAATAATTCTGAACTGTAAAATGTACCCAAATTTAAATAAATGAATTATTGTATTTACAGAGTATGCTGACCTGATTAGACGTTGTAAACAATTAGATGTGTGATAAATCAATGCAGCTTGCACAACTTGCTGACATACAGAGGGCCCCATGTCTTACTCCTTTCGGGCACTATTAACAATCCATGCTGTATACCCTTAGCAAATGTGAAGTCGTGGGAGAGGGCACATGACAATTCTGTTAAATCCACAGCTTGAATGTTGTCACAGGAATTCAGGAGAGAACTCACAACGTCATCATTTTCTGCGTGAGATAACGTACACGTGGAATAAACTAGTGATCCTCCAGGACGTAATGCATTAACACCTGACCTGCAAGTGACCAGTAAAGAGACAAAGGAGACGTTTGTCATTGTTCAAAACGCAAAATACTGCAGATGCTGGAAATCTGACACAAAAACAGAAGTCGCTGGGAACCCTCAGCGGGTCAGGCAGCATCTATGGAGAAAGGAAAGTGAGTCAACATTTCGGGTCCACGTCAAGAGTTCTAACGCAGGGTCGTGAACCCGAAACATTGACTCACTTTCCTTTCTCCATAGCTACTGCCTGACCTGCTGAGTGTTCCCAGCAACTTCTGTTTTTGTTTTAGTTGTTATTTCTGTCTACTTTAAGTAGTCACAGGAATGGAAAAATTGGTGGGAGAATGTCAAAGTTAACATTATAGCGAAAACAGATGTCACTTCTATCAGGCACAGAGGTAAATCCTTGCTTTTGATATGCCTCATCACACTCAAAGCACTTCAGTGTACTATCAAGTATAGTGGCTACATTTGTAGGTAAATGTAATAATAATAATCCTTGCATTGATATAGCACCATATCACGTCTTCGAGAAGTCTCAAAGTGCTTCAGAGAATACACTGCAAAGTGAACTGACTGTATGTTTTGTGGGTGAAAAGCGGCAGCCAATTGCACACAGCAGTGTCCCACAAATAGTCGTGGATTGAAGTGACAAATTTATTATTATTATCATTTTTGAAGGAATTATTACCGCCAGAAAAATAATCCACCAATTGACTAACAACTGGGTTCCTGCTTAATGCTAGGTGACCAGAGACATGTGGATTAAGGAATCTTGCGCAACATTTCACCCTGCTGGGAATCAAACCCAGGTCTCTTGCTTGTGAGGTGAGTGATCTAACCTTTGAGCTACAGGACTCCACTTTGCAGCAGCCAATTTGTGCATAGCAATGCTCCCCAAACAACCATTATGTGAATGACCAATTTTATCTGGAGGATTGTTGACCACGACCTTCTCTATCCAAGCATTGCAACAGTATTTTTAATGTCCATCTGAGCAGACAGATGGGATCTTGGCTGGTCATCAGAAGGATGACAATATAGTGCATCCCCAGGATTATAGGAATGATACCGTTGTGACAGGTTATAGGTAAGTTTACGTTAATCGCCTCCTGGTTTAATTGTTTGACAGTATTTCTATTTAAAGTTGCCAAAGCTAAAATAAAGATGTCAAACCTTTCCTGCTATACCTGAGTAATTGTCTCTGCAGAGTTGGTAGCTTAGGCCTGTGTGCAATCCTCGTGCAAGTCTGAAAGAGGTCAGAGGAGAACAGCCAGCTTCGGTCATTTGAACATGGGGCATCAACTAGCACCTATGGGAGCAACACAACCTTATTAGGAAAAAGCTGAACTAAAGCAAAATGAACTTTTCTTTCATTTTTTATTGTGGATTTCAAACGTTTTATAAAAAAGAATAACTACCCAGAGGAAAAAATAGTTACAAGTATAGACACTAAAAAGAAAAGCATCAGTGAGATCAACAAGGTACTTATTTCTGAGATCATTAATCTGCAATCCTGTAGTCTACTTTAAATAGTCACATGGATAGAACAATTGCCTGGAGAACTGTCAAAGTGAACATTATAACCAACACAGAATGCACTTAGCTGAGAAAACCAAAACTATCACGTGAAGAAACAGGTAGAGCAACCTTCGGGTCAAATGTAGTAACTTAACAAAGAGTGAGGCACAAATAGCAAAGTGGTGGCTGTCCACCACAGTTTGGCATGTACAGAGCCATGTGAGTGTGGAGCTGATAAGTCGTGTTCAGTATTAGGTACTTATGATGTTGATGACTACTCAGGAAAGGAGAATATTGAACAACAACGTGCAGCTCCAGATTTTCAAAGACTAGAAAGTGATGGTAAGTGTAGGCAAGCAGTAGTGTGGAGGGTTCAATAATTGGAGGAATAGTTAGCCTTTGCTACAGATTTTTTTCTTTTTAGAAACTTAGTTCAAGATTAAAGAATCGGAAATGCTACTGATAGATATTGGGCCATATACCAATATATACCAAGGCAGCACTTAGGATGTCCTCACAACAGTTTCTATGGCTAAAGAAGCCGTTTGTTTGTTTTTTTAGTTGTTTTTGCTCGAAATTTGCACGAACTGAATAGAAAGCCAACATGGATGTTCATTTAGGCAAAAACAAAATCCACTTGTTTGCATGAGACTGGAGGAATTTCAACCCTCTGGCCTCTGTAACAATTCAACTAATATGATTAGTGTACTCTAGACATGATCTTTATAACACTGAGCATCGTTGTGCTCATTAAAAAAGAGTGGCAACAGATCAAAATTCAACCTCACCTTGTCATACATTTCTGGTAGATGTGAGCCAAAGTATCTCCCATCCCGCTGGGTCACAGAAATTATGCTTCTTTTTACATCTTCAGGTACAAAAGAATCAAGAGTTTGCTGCAGCCATTTGTATCTCAAATTGTCAGGTTCGTTGCAAAGAAGATGCCCTTAAAAATAAAATCAAAGCTGTTTTGCTCACTTGCTTACTTCCTCTAATCTTAGAATAGTGTTATCTACATTAAGCTGCATGGATATATAACAGTGCTATTGTGAGCAGTGTGTTAAATGGATGCAAAGAATGGAGGATGAGAAATTGTGTAAGCAAGAAAGGCAGATTATAGTATAGGACAATCAAGGATGTTAAGTGTTTGGTCTTAAAAGTAAAAACACCAGCGATACAGTGTAATATATCAGACTACAATTACCTGGAGTACTACACTGTAATATAGCCACAGATTTCCCTCCAGGAGCGGCACACATATCGAGAACACATTCTCCATCTTGTATTCCTAATGCAAGGACTGGCAGTAAGGAGGCTGCGTTTAGGAGGTAATACTGCTTCAGCCTTTCATTCTGGTGTCGCTGTTTGGGGTACCGGCATTGAGTCCTACTAATGTAACATCGTAAAGAATGCTGGAGAAAGGGCAAAGCAATTTGCAGGAAGTTGTAATATTTCTGTGATTGAAGATGCTTCTCCAGTAATTCTGAGGGACAGAACCGATTTAGAAGAACAGCGTACTGCCAGCTGGAAGGATTCAGGAGCACTTCTCTGAAAGACGAGCAAAACACAGGAAAAACAGTTAACAAAATCAAAACTACTGAACAAGTATTTTGAGGGAAATGGAGATTGGAGACGTTTGCCTTAATTTTGATGGATTACTCTAACCAGAAAGAATCAACAGAATATTTTGCTCCAATATTTTTCAGCAGCAGGTTTCATAGAATTCCACTGAATGAGTGATACTGCATGGAAACAGGCCGTTTGGCTCAACAAGCCTATGTTGGGGTTTAGACTCTACAGAGTGTTCACCCTATTTCCTGCTCCTATAACCCTGTATTCTTAAGTGCTGTATTCTTAAGCGCTCCGGGATGCTACCCGCATAGAGGGCGCTATACAAACGCAAGTTGCTGTTGTATTCTTGCTTAGGTTTCTACTCCATCCGTGTGAATGCTTTTCGAGACATTTTCCTACATGTACATTGCACTTATTGCAATACAAATGCAAGTTGTTATATTGGGTCCCTTTATTATGAGTGTGCTCCTGTTCCAATTCCTACAATCATTTGTCACAAAGAGCAAACTTTAATGGACCGTAACTTTTGATTTAGGTTACCGTGTAATTTTTTTGCTGCAATACTTCCAACTAGAGAAACAGAACTAATGAAGCTTAAATGGATTCATGTCTGCAAAATGTATTCTGTGAATTTGCTTGAAAATTTAAATATCACAATATTTCTGCCCCAATTTCAGAAATAACCAGTGTAACTTGAACCTAACCTTCCTTACCTGGCTTTGTCCCATAATTCTCCAAGTCCTTGATGATACTTCTCATCAAAATGTTTCAAAGCTGGTAGGCAGATTTGTTTCTGTCGATTCTGTTTTATTTGAGACTTTATCGATCAATGGAAACAAATGTTAAAAGGTTTCATCAACTGCTTATTATGCATCTCCCCTTTAATATATTTATCCTTCTCTCTAAAGGTTTGGTATTAATCAGCATTATATAGAAACTCGTTTACACTTCCACAAACCAACAATCCGATCACTGCCAGGCATGTTCAGTATGTCATTCCTTTTAAACTTTAAACAGTTTGTGTGGCAAATGGATAGTTTTTAAAACAATTAAGTCTGTCCCTGACCCCAGTCCCTCACCCTCACCCCAGTCCCTCACCCCAGTCCCTGATCCCAGTCCCTCACCCCAGTCCCTGATCCCAGTCCCTGATCCCAGTCCCTGACCCTCTCCCCAGTCCCTGATCCCAGTCCCTGATCCCAGTCCCTGACCCTCTCCCCAGTCCCTGATCCCAGTCCCTGATCCCAGTCCCTGACCCTCTCCCCAGTCCCTGACCCTCTCCCCAGTCCCTGACCCTCTCCCCAGTCCCTGACCCTCTCCCAGTCCCTGACCCTCTCCCAGTCCCTGACCCTCACCCCAGTCCCTGACCCTCACCCCAGTCCCTCTCCCCAGTCCCTGACCCTCTCCCCAGTCCCTGACCCTCACCCCAGTCCCTCTCCCCAGTCCCTGACCCTCTCCCCAGTCCCTGACCCTCTCCCCAGTCCCTGACCCTCCCCCAGTCCCTCCCCCAGTCCCTGACCCTCTCCCAGTCCCTGACCCTCTCCCCAGTCCCTGACCCTCCCCTCCCTCCCCAGTCCCTGACCCTCTCCCCAGTCCCTGACCCTCCCCCAGTCCCTGACCCTCCCCCAGTCCCTCTCCCCAGTCCCTGACCCTCCCCCAGTCCCTGACCCTCCTCCCTCTCCCCAGTCCCTGACCCTCTCCCCAGTCCCTGACCCTCTCCCCAGTCCCTGACCCTCTCCCCAGTCCCTGACCCTCTCCCCAGTCCCTGACCCTCTCCCCAGTCCCTGACCCTCTCCCCAGTCCCTGACCCTCTCCCCAGTCCCTGACCCTCACCCCAGTCCCTGACCCTCTCCCCAGTCCCTGACCCTCTCCCCAGTCCCTCTCCCCAGTCCCTGACCCTCACCCCAGTCCCTGACCCTCACTCCAGTCCCTGACCCTCTCCCCAGTCCCTGACCCTCTCCCCAGTCCCTCTCCCCAGTCCCTGACCCTCACTCCAGTCCCTGACCCTCTCCCCAGTCCCTGACCCTCTCCCCAGTCCCTCTCCCCAGTCCCTGACCCTCTCCCCAGTCCCTGACCCTCTCCCCAGTCCCTCTCCCCAGTCTCTGACCCTCACCCCAGTCCCTGACCCTCACCCCAGTCCCTGACCCTCACCCCAGTCCCTGACCCTCACCCCAGTCCCTCTCCCCAGTCCCTGACCCTCTCCCCAGTCCCTGACCCCAGTCCCTGGTCAGTCCCCGGGAGCCTGACCTGCTGTGATGGCCTCGGGCCGGGCTGGATTCTCGGCTCCGCGCACAGGCCTCGGCCCGTCAGCCCGAGCTGCACATCGGCAGCGACTGCCAGGCGGCGGGACAGAACGCAGGGGACCCGCAGCGTGGCCATGGTGCCACTGTCCACCTTCCCCCGCCCGCCCGGCCCCGCACCTCAGTTCCGTTCTGGCAGCAGGTCCCGGGAGCTCCTGCAGAGCCCCAGAGCTTTGCTCTGTAACCATCAGCTGTTAAGCATTTCACAAGTACAGAGCTTCATATATTGCCACCAACACTCGGTGTGTATTTGTGTCGGGAATAGAGTCACTCCGGGGCAGTCTAACCAGCAAAAACCACCCAGAGAGCACCGTCTGGCAAACCATTTCATTGCTGGTCCTGCCAGGACCTGTTGGGGCTTTGGCTTTGTAGGGTTGATGGGAACTGACTGGGAAGAGTCCCTGCCCCCCCTTTGCCTGGTCTGCCCTTCCAAGTCCTCCCGATGAGTCCGGCTGTGATCAGCGGTGCCCTCGCCCGGAGTACCGCAGACCTGCCTGGCTCAAACACTGGACAACCAAGACCGCCACAGAGGACCACTTACATGTTGATAATTTATTGCATGGTATTTCACCTTTAAGTCAACTCAGCCTGAGGAGAACTTACCTCCTTTACCCCTTCCCCTGCCCTCCCCCGCGCACACACACCTAAGGAAAATAGCCACTATTGAGGTCGCAGATACTAGGGCTCCTTGCTAAGCAGGACAACTTGAAATGTGTGAGAGCATTGCCGCCTTTCCCCCGCCCACAGTCCGGACACAACTGAGTAATGGTTCCACGAGTTGGAAATTCAGAGCTTCAGCAGCAGCTGGTTATTTATCGGCATAATAATCACGGTCATAATTCTTGATTTTGATATGCTTTTGACCTGACCACATTGTTGAATGTCTTAAAGTGCTTCACAAAATTTACTGTGAAGTGTGGAGTCTGTATTTAAAGGCAAATATGGCAGCCAATCTGCACACAGCAATATTCCATAAACAGTCATTAAATTAATACCATTTTATTTATAATGCTGCAGATTACCTCCACCCCACAGCTGAGAGTTGAGTGTTTCACTCTGCTGAATTTTTTGAAAAGTCATCACCTCTGGAGTTAGACCAATTCAGGTTATTTCTCGGTGGCTGGAAAATAAACTGAAATTACATAGAGAACTCAGGATAGTGCTGCCACTGGGATTCTTTATATTATAACCTTAAGAATCTCAACCATTTAGGACAATGATTAATTCAACGAGGGTGAAACATTTATGGTCAAGGTTGTAAATACAGCAACAAGTTACCCGTGACCAAAATAAGGATCTGCTTTAAGCATATCTCATTTGTACAGATTTTACAAGTTTGTCCAGAACAATAACATTATTTCGATCATGAGGAAGGCCTTCAGAACAATACTGTATGGAACTGGAGGCCATAGATTAAAACAATATTTACCTGGTCAACTCAAAACATTTATCATTTGAGGAAAAGCACCATCAAAAGTTATCAGCTTCATACAAGTCCACATAGCAACCATTTTGTTCCAAAATAGTTCATCTGTAATTGGAAAAAGTTTCATGAAAGTCTTAAAACTAGGCAAGTGGCAGTTAAACAGACCTGACCCACTTTACATCCTGTTATGTTGGCACTGGGATGAACATCCATTTCCTTCTCTGGGCTCGTGTTTTGAGTTGGCACCATTTCTTGCTCCAAATGATTTGAACTACCTTCCCATTTTAGTACCAGATATTTAATCAGGAGCACCTCCCAAAGTGAGACAGTAATAGGTAACCTGAATGAACATCCATTGTACCAAAACTCCATTGCTTACCAAAGTCATTTACATTTCTACCCAAAAGTGTTGGCCTGGCTCAGGTGCGAGCACACTCACCTCAGAGTCAAAAGATCTTGGGTTCAAGTCCATGTCAGTATTTTAAGATTAACTGAAACAGCTCAATTCTCTACCACATCAAATCCTTAAAACCGAGGCCTCTTCAGACCCAAATCTAGAGCTTTAAAACAGTACATTTTTCTCCAAATAAAACACCCATCCTGTAGTGGGCCTTATTGTGAGGATAATTATAACATAAGAACATAAGAATTTGCTAGGCGAAAGACCAAGGTCCATCTTGTTTGCCTTCCATTATCCTTCCAGTCACTTGACATGTCATGTCATAAAGTATACATCCCGTGATATTATTTTCCAGCAGAAATCTATCTAATTTGTTCTTGAAACAAACAACATTTTCTGCTTCCACTGTCTCCCTAGGGAGCCTGTTCGATAATTTGACTACTCACTCACTGAAGTAGTGTTTCTGCAGATTTGTTCTGAGTTTATCCCTTCAATTGCAAGCCATGTGCTCTGGTTATACTGTTCAGTGCAAGATAAAACAGCTTATCAGGGTCTACCTTATCCAGTTCCTTCAGAATTTTAAAGACCATAATCAATATCGCCCCTCAACCTTCTCTTCTACAGTGTGAACATGCCCAGTTTATCTAATCGCTCCTCGTAGTCTAGTCCCTCCATCCCCTCAATCATTTTGGTTGCCCTCCTCTGTATCGTCTCAATTGCTACAATATCCTTTTTATATTTCGGTGACCAGAACTGCACACAGTATTCCAAGTGTGGTCAAACCAGTGATTTATAAAGTGGCAGGATTACCCCACTATTTCAGCTCAATATTGCCCTTTTAATTCAGCCCAGCATCTGGTTTGTCTTACTCAGTTACCGAGGACTATATATATATATATAATATATATAAAAAAAGTCCTTCCTGGATTTTTTATCACTATGTGCAGCACTTTGCATTTCGCTACATTCAATTTCATCTGCCATCAATCTGCCCAATTCCCAGAATGTTCAAGTCCTCCTGTAACCTACCCTGTTCATCTTTGCAGTGTACCACCTTCAATAGCTTTGTGTCATCTGCAAATTTAGCCACTGTGCTTGTGACTCCTAGCTCCAGGTTGTTTATGAAGATGTTAAATAAAAGAAGTCCCATAACAGACCCCTGTGGAACTGCATTGGTAATATTCACCCAGTCTGATGACATTTCCTGTACCACCAGCTTCTGGATTCTATCGGTCAGCCATTTACGTATCCTTTGCAAGATACTTCCTCTGATTCCTGCTTTCTTTATTTTCAGTTTCAGCCTTTCATGAGGAAGTGTATCAAAGGCCTTACTGGATTCCTGATATACAACATCCACTGCCTTACCCCTATCAAACTCCTTTGGCAATTTTATTTTTGTTTTTATAACCTCACCAATCCTTGTAATATCAAATATGATAACATTATGATCAGTTGCTTAATCCCTCACCCACTTTTGTGTTGGAGATTTGATCATCCCTATTACTCATAACCAAGTCCAAAATTTATTTCCTCTTGTTTGCTCCTTTATAAACGGAGTCATAAAACACTCTTCCTTTAACTCTAGAAATTAATTTGAGCCCCAATACTGAAGTTTATATATACTGCCACCTCATTACGTACAAGACCCAGCAAACTCATTTTAGAGAGTTCAATGTACAGGAAAGGTGATATAGTCATGGAACCATTGCAATGTAGTGTTCCCATTCCCAGCAGTAAGATATATATAAATGGTAAATAGGATAAAGTAAACCCACAACAATACCTCCAAATGCAAATTAGCAATGATGTCAATAACAGATCAAGAAAGCATAGTTCCACAGGTTGGAGAAGGAACTACTGGAATTGAGCAGAATGTGAACCAGGTGGAAACAATTCATCCCAAAGTAGGTTTGAAATCTCCAATCCAAACAGTAGAATTAGTTTTCTGTGTAACAAAGTTTAGTTTGTTTAGCTGTTGAATAAAATTTGTTCGCCTCTGTAAGGTGTTAAAATAATTCTGTGGGAAAAATTAATTGACTTGCCTCACAGAATTCATAATTCTGTGGGAAAGAACTGATTGATATGAGCTGCTGACACTAGATAGCAAGAGTGTCTTATTAGGACTGCTGAAACTCCCCCAGAGAAAAGGTAACTGATCAAATACCTAATTCTCTTCTTAGTTGTGCTTCATCCGGTAGATACTGTTTTAAAGTTGTGATATTATTTGACAATTTTAATAAAATGAAATATCAATTTGGACATGTTATGTCAACATTTGAGTTATTATCCGTCCCATTAAAACCCTACATCTCATTTATTTTCTGATTGCTCCTATTTGATTGCAGATTGTGGCAAAACAGTACATGAGATGTTGTTGGCTGCCTGTAGGTGGCAGGATTACATTTAACAGTCCCACCACATTAAGCTGACAAATAAGAGGCATGACAGGGTAAAGCTTCAAGGCTTGATTTGGCAATTCAAAAGTTTTACTTTCTCTCCTCTCAATGATGTCAGGAATACATTCATTTTACCTTTTTGTGGTCATCGAGCTTTTATTCTCTTGTTTAACAAAATGCAAAACTGGGGAGAGGTTCTTGGTTCTAATTAGTGTACTCTGCAAATTGCAGACCACATAAAACCATTCTTTGGGGTGGCGGAGAATGTCTGCTTTGGTCAAAATCACATCACCATACATAAGAGTATCCAAACCAAACATAGATCCATGCATGCTACCCACACATGAAAATTTCCATGTTTGGAATGTGCACTCGTTCCCAGAAGGGACACCTAATTCTGGAAAGTATTAGGCAAAGCTTGGCCAGTGTCAAGGCTTGGGGACCCTAGAGTGTGCATTGGGGAACTTCTGGAGTTTAACCAGCTAAATAAGTTGCCATTGAAAGCTTCACACTGTTTGTTCAGCTCGGACCAACCTACCCATTAGGGTTAGCATTTACAGGGTTAACCTGGATGAGTCTAAACTTCCTGCAGCTGAATATGGACAAGAAGGAAGCCATACTCATTGGTTCCCGTCAACATCCTCACTCCTGCGGATCTAAACTCCTCAACCTCCGTGGAATCTCCACCAGACTCACCAAACCAATGCGCAAACTAGGCATCTGGTTCATCCCCCAGCTGTCCTTCCTCCCCCACAGCCAGTCCCTGACCAGGACCGCCTTCTTCCACCTCCACTACATTGCCCGCCTCCGACCGTACCTTACCCCAACTGCAGCTGAAACCCTTGTGCATGCGTTTGTCATCTCCCGCTTGGATTACTCCAACACACTCCTCACCAGTCTCCCAGCTCCACCATTCAAGATCCAGCTCATTCAAAACTCTGCCACCCACATACTACCCCAGACCAAACTCTGTACCGACATCTCACCAGTTCTGGCCAGGCTCCACTGGCTCCCCATCGCCGAATGGATCGACTTCAAGATCTTCACACTCGTGTTCAAATCCATCGCTTCTTGGCACTTCCCTACCTCTCCAACCTCATTCCCCAATCCACCACCCCGCATCTCTGCTCGTCCCTCACACCCTCCGGCCCACCATTGGAGTTCGCGCTTTCAGCCACTACACCCTGAAACTCCGTAACACTCTCCCTCAATTACTCCGCCTTGCCCCCCCTATCCCGTCACATCCAACCTGAAAACTTTCCTCTTCAATCATGCTTACGGCCAAATCCCCCCGACTCAGAGTCAGGCTCCGCAACTGTTAAGCTCTTTGCGACGCTACCCTGCGTGGAGGGCGCTATATAAGTGCAAGTTGTTGTTGTCGTTGTTAACAGGAGCTAATTGAGATCTGCACATCCTCCTGATAAGCCAGCTGGTCAGTCTGTCAGCAGTTTACCAATGAAAGATATAGAAGCATGAATACAATTGCCTGTAGTTCCATTTAAACTAATGTTTTTCTCCACAACTGCCATCTGTTGGGCAAAGGTTATTCTAAAAGGTAAACCCAAACAACTGGCAGGTTTCCCAAATTTCTTCCACCTTCACAGAATTAACTCATTTTCTTAAATCCATTGGTGGACTTTGCCCTGCAACTAATAAAAAGTAGCTATCTATATGTATACTTCCATTACAACCAGTTCAGTGTTGATGATGATTTTTATACAGACCTAGTTTAATTAAATCTATCCAGAGTGTGATACGAAGATTAAATATATTGCTTGAATTTGGCACAGCACCTATAAAGTCAAGACCATCTCAATATACTCAAGACCTTTTAAGAACCTCTGAACACAAAAAGTTACATTACAAACAGCCAAGAATTTAACAATTAATTTATAATGAACTTTGATTTAATATAGCACCTTATGATATCAAAACACCTCAAAGTGCTTCACAAGACTATAATGTGAAGTGTAAGGATTGTATATTTGTAGGCAAACATGCAGCCAATTTATGGACAGCAATGTCTCACAAACCTATGAAGGGAATGACCAATTTTATCTGGGGGCTTAAGTGGCCAGATCATTGGGAGACACTCATCTCTTTTCAATTAGAGCCATGGGATCTTTAATGTTCACTTGAACAGGCAGATGGAACCTCAGTTTCCCATGCCATCAGAAGGACTGTCTCCAAAGTGCAAGTACAGTAGTTAACTTACAGTAACTATAGAACTTGTAGTATTACTTGTAATACTGCTGTAATCCTGGACCGCATCTCTGATATTTTTGCCACACACACCCAGCAGTGAATTGGAGTGTCACTTTAGACTATGTGAGTTCAAGTCCCAATGTGGGGCGCGAACCCACAATCGTCTGACTCAGAGGCAAGAGTGTTACCGAGTGAACAGGCTGACACAACTATACAGCCAGAAGTGGCTCCCATCACTGATGACTGGGCTCTTTTGTTACGAAAAAACTGGTGTTGAGTGAATGTAAAAGCTGTACAGAACCATAAAAGTGCAAGGTTGCTCTTATGTTGCTGTCGTGTCTCTGTGCTGAATTGTTACATTGATGAACATTATGGAAGGTAGAAATTTTTTTAAACTTCTAGAAAGTGCCATTGACCAAAGACTGAATTCTTATATAGGAACATCAAGTACGACTGAAGGAACAAAATTATAGCATGCAATGACCTAATACATCTGAAGGACCATCAATATCTGGATATCTTGATGAATCTTCCTGAAATGTATGTAAAACAAGCTGAAATCCAAAGTAATTTACTAAAATATGCCAACAGGAACACTAAGCGTGATTTGTTGTATTTCTGCTTCTTAACTTTCCAGGTTGCAATTCAATTATGAAATTCATGGTCTAAATATTTTCATTTGTGCTTGCCCAGAGAAACATTCCTTACTATTTCATTCATTTTATGTGCTGCATATTGTCCTAGTATTTAAAATATGAAAATATTTTTCAAAATAATACCTTTGCTGTGTAAGGCTCAGATATAAGAACTTTGGCCGCATTTTAATAAATATAGATCTGTTGTACATTATGCTATACACTTTTTAATATTTTGGGATGCTTAAATAGTACATTATAAAAAAGTACACTTGTTTTATAAATAGTAAATTCAAATGGGAAACATAGAAAATGAAATACCACAAAAACTGAGCCGAATTCATGTCAAAATATATCTGGCAAATAAGTACACAATAGGATGACAAAGTCAACCAATATTGGCTCTATTATTTTTGTTTTACGGCAATTTGTGAATAAATTTGCAGTAAAATAGTGTACTCCTACATGCCTATCAGGCAAGATAGTATCATACCCACATTCAAATAAACAAAACATATTATACAGAATTAATTGAAACTTCATGTAGTGCAAGTAATATTATTCTAACTAAAATGTATTTACTAATATCAGGCTTAGTTTTACTTGTACTTTTGTGATTGTATATTAATAGCACCAGAGTGATTCACTGTAGCTTTCTCACAGTTTCTTAATACTTTTTGAAACTCCAAGATGTTTTCCTGAAAGATGTACAAAAGCTTGAAAAAAATCACAAAATAGTTTCAGGTACAATTACGTAATATTACAACCAAATAAACTTTGTAAACAGTATACTGTAGCTGGAATATCTTAGAATAGGAATAAGCATTGCTAAAATACAGTTTGTTTAATTATGAAGACAAACTAAATGTGCATATGACTTAAGCAATGTTATTATTTAATGACCTGTGATACATTGCTCCACACTGTTAATTGTTCCCTAAAAGAACATATTTATCTACATATCAAGACAGTAGAAAATAGATACTTAGGAAATTACTTCTACATGAACTAATCTATATAACCATGATCTATTTTCCAAAAACTCCAGAAGAACAAGAGCTTTTGAAGATGTAGAATTAAAAACTAGGACATTTCTTGAAGAGGGACAAGACTATAAAATATGTCAGAAATAAAAAGGTAATCTCGGATTACTGAAAATCTAAAATTAAAACAGAAAATGCTGGAAATGCATAACATGTCGATGAGTACCTGAACGAAAGAAAGTTTAATGTTTTGGATGTGACCCTTTATCAGAACTAGTGGTGAAGGTTCATATTCAAGACACTAACCTTTTTTTTCCAATACAGATTAATCTCCAGTGCATTTACAGAATTTTCTCTTTGATTAACCATGCCACACGTGGGCGGTAAATGTTTATTTGTCCAGTGCAATATTACTAGATGCAATGGATTTCTTTTTTAAAAAAGCTCGAAGTATTATACAACTGAATTAAGCATCCCTGCATCAGTTTTTGCAATTGTCCAAAACAGTTCAATTTGAACACCAGTTACATAACTGAAAAGGATTAACAAAACCTAAAATAGTTCTTCTTCTTACGCACATTGTAGTTCAGTTCTTACACATGTTGTAGTTTCTAAAAAAAAACATTGCTAATGCTTAACATACATTAAGCAAAGACATTAAAATGATCTATAAAATATCAAATCTTATGTAAATATAAAAGAAATCAAAATAAAATCTGTTCCATCCTGCAGAGTTTCAGCAGCTATCAGGAAGCTTTTCACTTGATACAAAGTACTATTTGCTTAGGAACAGCAGTAGGAAATACCAGTTCTTTAGTGTTTTCATTTTTCTCACTGCAGGTTTCTTCTAGGTTTAGAAAAACTGGAGAAAATGGACCTGTTCAACAATCTGGTCAAAGTGATAGGTTCTCTTGTCCGCAATACTCTTTTTTTTGCTGCAATACTAATGATATCCGTGCAGGTTCAGTGCAGTGTTCTTGAATGCAACCGAAAGCAAATTCCCATATTGTTCTAGGAAGCAACTATGGGTAGAGTCATTTCTTCTTTGATGACTGATCCATTTGAGCTTGATAAATTTGGAAAAAAAAACGTTTTGTTTTATTATTAATTTTAAAGAATTATATTTGTGTTTTTAAATAAGTAGCAAGTCATCCATAATCCAGATGAATGACATCATGGGCATTCCCATTAAGAATCTGCATAGTTTGGCTTACTGATGGCAATGGCTTACTATGAAAAAGTGTGAAACAGGTTAAAAAGAATGAAAGTATTATGTTAATACTAGAAATATTGGTATTCCCTAAATAGAACTATGGAAACTGTAAACAAAGAATGAAAATTGTGATTTATTTACAATCAGTACTTGCCTGCCAACATTAAGGCGGAAAAGCATATTTCCTACCCATCCACCAGTCATGATCCAGAGAAATGTGGGGAATTCTGAAAATTATATTGAATTTCACACTTCTTACCTCTTCCCAGAGTCAGTGGGACTGCAATGGGATTCTTTGTGGGCAAATTAACCTTGCACACCTCACGGGATGAACAAAACTGATGTGCCAATAGCCATGGATTGGCTAACGCATCCAAAAAGGAATCAAAGATTGTGTGTCATTTCAGAGCTCCAAGTGGACCTAGTCTTCTCGGAGTCTTGAAATTGTGCATTATCTTGTAAATTTAAACCATAATTTGACCCAACCACAGCAGAAAGGGAGAGGATAGTGAAAAAAAATTATATTCCCAAACCATACATGGTGGCAGGTATGCAAGTCTCAGATTCTCAACACAAGTACCTATGACACATTTCACTGTTGCCATTCTGTGTTGAATCCTGCATATGGGGATAAATTACTGGTAAGAAATATCTTCATATAAAATGAAGAATTTAACACAGAAGAAGGCCATTCTACCCACCATGCCTGTATTGGCACCATACAGCTAGTTCTGACTCCCCTGCCCTTTCTCCATACCATTTTTATATTTTTCTTTTTCAAATATTTGCCCAATCCCATTTAAAAAGTATTACACATTCAGTTTCAACTATGTCTTTGATAGGAAATTCCATCTCCTAAACTCTCCCTTTCTTATCTCGTTAATGATCTTAATTTATGCTCCTTACCTGCTAATGCACCAACCAATGTCAATTATTTCTCCCATTTATCTTATCAAAGCCCCTCATAACTTTGCACATCTTTGCAGATCTTCTCACAATCTTTTCTGTGCAATAAAACTTGGTGTTGTTTGTAGTCTCCTGATAACCCTAAATTAGAATCCCTTAAGATTGTTCTTGTTACCATGCAGTTGTCAACCCATTACAGTAGTAGTCATTGGGATAATGATCAAGGGAAATATTCCAGTCTGATTTTCCCCTCCCTAACTTGGGGGCATAAGACCAATTACAGGACTCCCCTTCCTGCTTCATCTTAGATCAGACCAGGTTTCAAATCTGTATAATCCAGACCTACATTGCCTTTACTCACTTAGGCTTTTACTCACCAGAACACTTGGAAAAACTACACATTGTATTTAAATCTATTTATTTGGTGTGCTACTTTATACGCAGTATGATTCCTGACTGCAGTGCAATTTCCTCCAGCAGCTTTCACTATACATGTAACGGAGACAGGCCAGGAACAGTCCCAATAAATTATACTAGATATTTGCTTCATTAAATGAAACAGTTATCTAAAATTATTTCTTCTGCAAGATAAGATACAACCTGATTAAGACAGTCGGTCATGAGATGATTTTCAGTTTAAAAAATCTTTAGCTTTTAGCAATTGTGTCTAAATGCAGGCAGCAGTAAAATGGTTAGTTAAGAAAATAAATGGGTCTCAAAATAAGCATGCTGAGCAACACTGAATGTTTTTTGAAAAATTACCATTACGTTCTGTTTCACCAAGAGGTTCAAGTTTTGGAAGTCTGGTAACTTTGGGAGTACCCCAGCCGACTAAAGGAAGACAGACAAAAATAGCCATTAAACATAAAAGGCTGGTTTGAAGGTAATCCCATTTTGATAGTGACGCTGAACAAGACAATAGAATGTTTGAAAAAATAAAGATAAAATAACATTTTCCGACAAAGAACTTATGTAATGCTTCAGAAAAAATGTAGAAAATAAAAAATGAAGCTATTAAAATATTTAGGTGTACAAAATGTCTAGAATGAATTTGATGTCAGAAGGGACTAAAAATGGTACAACCATTAATCATTTCATTACTTACTGGTATTTGGAGAATTACTCAACTATTCTCTGATTGGAAATATTTAAGTTATAAATATTTTCAGTGTATAATTTAGAACCATATAAATCTAACACAGAAGCCATCTAATTCAATTAGTGTTTACTCCACTAATGAACCATCTCTCCTAATCCAACTTGCCTTTTTTTTTAAAAACGTTTCCTCATACCCCTGACACCCATCTTCTGTTTGTGTTTAGCTAATTCCCTTTTAAATGTTCCCAATCAACTCTGCTCACTAACCTATTCCACATCCAGGACATTTGTGAAAGTCAAGAACATGACATCTTTATTAGAGAACATAACTATGTGAAGAGTTGGAATTTACAAATGTATAATAACCTAATAAACAAATTGTCTAACATACCAGAAAACTGATTAAATACACCTGAAATATTCTTATTAAAATAAGCCTGAAGAGGCTTAACTTGTGACCCAAGACTCTTAAGAAGCATTTGGATCCTCTATCGTAGTATCAATTTCTCCAAACCACATAGTTCTCTTTTTAGGTTTGTGCCAAACACAAAAGATCTTTCTACTCACTGGGTGGTGGTGGTGGTAGATTTATACTTCCAGGAACATCATCTTCTGTACTGCTTGGCTCTACTTTGTTCTTTCTCTTTAGCATCATCTTTTTGGCTTTCTTTTTTCCAGGTTCTGCTTAAAATATGTTTTTAAAATAGTTGTAAAATACCTACAGCATTCTCACCATGTCTCACAACAAATATTATGCAAGTATGCTAGTAGCTATCAATATAATTTTTGCTTTAGAATTTTATGAAAACCAGTTAATCATATACTATCTAAGCAACTTTATTTCTGCAATTACCGGAGTCTGTGCTATCTGGTGTTTGTCTTTTATTTTCAATATCCTCTTGGGGTATTTCTTCAGTTGATGCTGCTGCAGAAGTCTCTGTCTTCACTTTTACAACATTTTCTTGACTTCCTTTGTTGAACTTTGCTTGTATTTCAGAGAGACCCTCCTTTTTTAAGTTCTGGAATGGAATCTCTCTGTTAGGCATTTCAGACAATTGCATGTTTGGTCCGATTTTCTCTTTCTGTTTTGGGGTTTTATCTTCTTTCTGGTACAAAAACAATCCTATGAACTGTGGTTCTCATGTTCACACTAGAAATTAGGATAAGTGTAATCCCTTGTTGATCCATTGCCATCCTTCTTAGGCCTTAAAACCATTAGACCTTCCCTTCTCACTTATATTAAATAGTGTTAAGTGGGACGGGGCAGGGAATCTTTTAAACAGCATATGAGAATCATCAATAAGGTATGTGAGTATGTTTTTAAAAAAGTTTCTTTTTAAAGACCAATTTCTTATTACTAGTGAACCGTCCTCTCATCACAGCAGCTCAATGCAAAGCAATTGGAAATAATGTCACTCGCTGCTTGCAGTCTGTCAGGAAATCCCGCTTGAGCTGAGGGGAAGGCAACCGGGTTCCTTAACGAACGTGTCCTCCCAACCGCTGGCTCCAACCCTGCCAGGCCCAGGAGAGCTTTCATTCCCGCTGCCAGACAGTGAGCCACAGGGATGATTAAGAGAAAAAGGGGGAGACCGAGAGTGATTAAGAGAGAGATGGGTAGGGGGGGTGGAGAGAGAGTAATTGAGAGACTGTGCGTGGAGAGAGTAAGGGACAGTGTGTGAGAAGGGAGAGACAAAAAGAGCGAGGGGGGGTAATAATAATCCTTGCATTTGATATAGCGCTTTTCACATCGGGAGGACGTCCCAAAGCGCTTTCACAGAACACACTGTAAAGTGAATTGACTGTATATTTGTGGGCGAACGTGGCAGCCAATTGTGCACAGCAATGTCCCACAAACAGTCGTAGATTGAAAATGACCAATTTATTATTGTTTTTTTGTTTTGGAGGGATTATTATTAGGCGTGTGGAGTAAGGAAACTTGCCCAAGGTTTCACCCTGCCTGGAATTGAACTCGGGTCTCTCACTTGCAAAGCGAGTGCTCTAACCACTGAGCTACAGGACTCCACGGGTAGGGAGAGAGTGATTCATTGACAGAGGGGAAGAGTGATTGAGAGAGAGAGAGAGCGCGTGATGGAGAGGGGAAGAGACAGAGAAGGGAAGCGACGACAGTGTTTTGTGGTTCATTGTCAGGATAGAAGATCGGAACGTGTCTCAGCCGCTGCAGGGGGGGACCGAAGACTGACACCGAGCGACGTGCCATTGCCATTTCCTCACAGCATGCTCCTTTTTCCCCAACTTCTCTATGGCCTTCATCCTCCCCACCTTATCTCTGCGATCTCCAGACCCAGCTGTTCAGGAAATACTTGCTTCATGTCCCTCCAATTCACTTGCATGCAACAAGGCATGTGAAAATCTAAATCCTTGAGCCCACTTTCGGTCATCTTTACCCCTTTCCCCACGTCCCTTGGCTTCCACACCCAGTCAGGTGCCCAGCCATCAGTGTTAAGCGCTTTGAAACATTCTTCTGACATGAAAAAGGCGCTGTATAAATGTTGTCATGCAAGAGAAACACAAAAATATGCTTATGCAGCCCGTGGACGTCTCTCAAATCCGGCCTGACTTAGGCAATTATGAGACTAATAATGAGAGTTCACCTGCATAAATATATATGTGCAATGTCTTCAATAGAGAAAGTATTTGTAACTGCATACTTCAATGCCTACCTCTGCAATTAATTTAGAAATGGGTTTAAAAGGATTTGAATGTAGCTCAGGTTCTTCTTCCTGATTTTGTGGTAAGCCCTCTCGCTCAGTTTCTTCTCTTTCTTGCTGTTCTCTGTTAAAATAAATAGAATCTTTTAAAAAAGAACTATAATATTCAAATGTACCTTCATTTTTGTTATTGTATGGCCAGCAAGGTTTATCATGCATTACTTATTCTATACATTCTTGGACAACTTTGTGCTGTGAACTCAATTCCATTAGGAACTATATTGGGATTGCTTATACTCACTCCATTTACATCAAAATAATTAAGACTTAGTGTGAGTTTGATTTGAATGTTTGAGTTGTGTGGCAGCCTGGCTCGGTTGTTAGCACTCTCGCCTCAGTCAAAAGGTTATGGGTTCAAGCCCCACGTCAGAACTTCAAAATCACATAGTCTAAGCTGGCATTCCAACGCAGTGCAGGGAAGTGCTGCAATGTTGGAGGTACTGTCCTTCGGTTGAGATGTTACACCTTTACCTTGCCTCTCGTATCTTCCGTACTCTTTCTGCTCTCTCACGTTTCTCTTGTTCTTCTTGTGCTTTCTGCTCTGCTGTGTCTTTCTGTATTCGTTCTTCTAAAACATCAAAATCTTTTGCTATGGTGCTCAAAAGCCAACCAAGGCCTTTTCTAATGGCTTTGTCCAGCCTTTTTCCAAACCCTTTTGTAGCAGAACATGGCTCCTATTGGTATTAAAATGAATTATTTTAGATAGTCTATTCAGTAAAATATTTACACACTGTAAAATGTGCAACATGAAGGTTTTGTCCAGTGTATATTATTGCAATGCTGTACCATATGGGTTGGTTAAAGTGAATTATTTCCCATTATTTTGAGAGTAAAAAATTTGATATTTTTACCTTGATTGGTGTTGTTAAAGAAGAACATATTACTGCAAACTTGTACTTCCCTCTTGTATCTACGCCCAAGATATTAATGTTCATTGTAAAACGTGGCAATTCCCAGTTGCCCCTGCTCTGAGGCATGCTGTGTGTTACATTCTGCCAGTCTGAAAAATATCCATTGATTTCCATGGACTCTATCCATTGTATTACTTTTCTATTGATATAGTGACTCTTCAGTTTAAGACAATCAACAATCCAATTAAAGCAGATTCCACTTGTATATAGTTATAATAATACTTGCATTTTGATATAGCACCTTAGCTGCAGTGACTGTGTATTTTAGGTGAATGCGGCAGCCAGTTTGCACACAGCAATGTCTGACAAACAGCAATGAAGTGAGTGGCCAATAATAATTTTATTATTTGGAGGATTTTATTTTAAACCAGGGCATTAGGAGAAACTTCCTCTCTTTCAAATAGTGCTTTGGGATCTTGAATGTCCAGCTGTGTACCTCAGATTAACATCTCATCCAACTGACAATGCAGTACTCCCCCAGCACGTATTGCAGTGTCAGACGAATATGTGAGTTCAAAGTCCAGACGTGGGGTTTGAACCCGCAATCTTCTGGCACAGAAGCTAAGTATTACCAACCCAGCCGAGCTGACACCTGTCAGTGATTAACAATCAATCTTTGTGTCATACCCTCTTTCAGATAAAATGTTAAAGCAGCTGTCTTTTCAAGCGGACATGAAAGATCCTATAACATTATTCAAAACGAGAAGGTAGTTTTTCCCAGCTAACAATCTTCAAGATTAATTAGTTATTCACCTCATTGCTATTTGTGGAATACTGCTGTGTAAAAAAATGGCTGCCATATTTGCCTACAAAATATAATAGCAATTTCAGAAACTCTTTGTGATGTTTTGATGTGAATGCAAGGATTATTTTTGTTAAGAAAAACCTTAAACATTAAATAGTAAATTTTGCTTCTTACTTACAATTTGGCATACACATTTATTCTCATTGACCAGCTTCTCCAGCGAAAGAAATTCTATGATATCAGCTTCACCTAATGCCCCATCGCAATCCTGTTTGTTTGCCAATCTAAAATAAACAAATAGAGCATTAATGGTTTTAGTTATTGTACAATTAATTTACAAGTAACAATTTGCGATGCAAATTCATGATGACTTGCATCTCACTGGAAGGACTTAAGTAATAATTGTGGGGTGTGCAAGTTAAACAAGCAGCAAATCACTTTAGTTAATTTGGAAAAGTCCAAAAAAGTATTTAATTTATTTAGGCAACTGGTTATTTAAGATATTTCAGTCAGGACAAGCAATGTTCATACATATTCCCGTTTCTTGTAGCTATAGTACAGTGGAGTCCTGTAGCTCAGTGGTTAGAGCACTCGCTTTGCAAGTGAGAGACCTGAGTTCAATTCCAGGCACAGGGCGAAACCTTGGGCAAGTTCCCTTACTCCACACGCCTAATAATAATCTCTCCAAAACCAAAAACAATAATAAATTGGTCATTTTCAATCTACGACTGTTTGTGGGACATTGCTGTGCGCAATTGGCTGCCGCGTTCGCCCACAAATATACAGTCAATTCACTTTACAGTGTGTTCTGTAAAGCGCTTTGGGACGTCCTCCTGACGTGAAAAGCGCTATATCATATGCAAGGATTATTATTATTATTATTATTATTACAGGGCTTTGGCTTGAGCTGCTTTGGAGAAAAAGAAGTCTTTGAAGAGTTGTTGCACTGGAAACTCCATATAGAATGGAGCAAATTGCATGAGCTAAGCAGCAAATTACCAAGAGTGGGTGAGGTTCAAGAAGAATGAAGTCAGATGTTATGAAAGCATCATTCAGTATTCAATAAATATTATACATGGTTAACTAGAATAGTCGATTATATAAATGAATTTTAAGACCTTTGGTGATGTTTACATATCATGTGACATTTACACTTCCCTATTAGCTTAGAATTACCACCTTATTGAGTGAAATGCCAATTTTAAACATTTTTGTGGTACTGATTTCTCACTGAGAAATGCTTACTACAGAAATTTTGCAGCCTTTAGAAAAGTGATTCACATATTATCAAATCTGGTTTAGATTAAAGCCCAAGTCACAGAGAAGCAAGTAATGAGTACTATTATTGTACAAACTCATTGCACCTCCCAATCTCTTAGAACCATAGACATTTTCAGCACATAACAAGATCAATCAGTCCTTTGGGCCCGTGTTGGTTTTTTGAAAGACAAAAGTGCTTTGAGACATTTCCCCCACATGAAAGCCTCTATGTAAAAACATTCAGACCCATTTACCTGTATTTTCCCCATATCCCTCCAAATTATTTCTCTTAAACATCTAATTAGTTCTCTCTTGAGAGTCTGAACTTTAATTATACACACAAGTATAACACAGAATCACAACAACAACTTGGCTTTATATAGCGCCCTCCATGCCTGACGGCATCTCAGAACGCTTTACAGTAACGGATCCCGGGGCCGAGCCAGGGGGAGGAAGGTGACCAAAGGCCCGATCGAAAAGAAAGGTCTTCAGCAGAGACCTGAAAATAGGGAGGGAGGGAGCGAGGCAAAGGGAGTGAGGAAGGGAGTTCCGGAGCCTCGGGACATAGTGGCTGAAGGCACGGCCGCCGAGGGTGGAGCGGAGGACTCGTGTTTTTACAAAGCACAATCTGGTGAAGAAAATGAGCAGTGGTTTCTGTTGCATAAATTCAAATAGTTCCAATATAACTCAATTTCAAATCATGATTCAACCATGAGAGCCTTCTGTCATGTTGTGTGATAATTCCTGTTGCAGGCACCATAATCACCTCGAAACTCATGTCAAAAACACCTTCAAGCTTTACTGTACATGTTATATAAAATGCCACTGGCAACAGTTCAAATTTCTTATGATGATAATACACCCCCAATTCATGTCAATTACAAATACACAGTTACTACACTTTACAGTAAATCCTGAGAAGTGCATAGAGAAGCACTAACATAAGGCACTATACAAGGCCAATATAAGGCAATATATCAAAAAGATTGTTATCAAATGCAAGGATTATTACTGTTACTTATTAACTTGTTATCTTGCAGTAAACTCCATGATTATAATGAAATAAATGCATCTCCTTGTCACAACGTCAAGAATTGAGTGTCAATGGATCTCAGAATCTGAGAGGTTTGGGAAATTCTACTTCAAAGGTTTTACGCGTAACTGACCAAAAGTCACATTGGAATTCCTAAAATTACTGATTCTCCATCTGGTCAAATCATAGTAAAATTCCTAAAGGTACATTCAAATTTTAAAGAGTCATTTCTCAGTGGGTTACAAACTCGGTTGAAGGCAAATCACTCCTGGGAGCATGCAATACCAGCTCTAATACGTCATATGGACATTTGTTTAAGGTTATTTCAAAGTCAATTGGTATTAATCAACTGTTGAAATTGTGTGTTGTATGTTATTTGCTTGCTAGATTCATTTAAAAGAGAGAATAAAATGATTTATTTCTGGTTCAACTGTTTTCTTCATTCCATCACTAAGAGACCGAGCTATTGATGGCTGATGCTGGATCATATTAGTTTATTAACAATTAAACTATTAAACGAAAGTTATTGACAATTGTTTGTGTTATTCAAAAATATGCAATTGTAATATTACGGTTTTCAATAGTTGTACAGAAACTGGAAACCAACAATGAAGGATCAATAATGTAAGCAGCAAACAATGGAGTCTAGGTTCGTTCTACAATAATGAAGTACTGTATTGGTTTAGAGTTTAGCTTCTGTCCTGACATCTGGAACTTAGACAAAAATAAAATACAAAGTAAAAAGCGTACTGCACCATTATCATGTCCTCTTTAAAAGAAACTGTGGTGAATGAGCAGAGTGCCCTGCTCTCAAAGATATTTGAAACAAAAATAATAGTGAGACTTAATAAGAGGCTGAAATACAGCAATACTTAACTTGAGAAAAACCAAAACTTCTTGCTTGTGCTTGTTGTTCTTTTTGCTGCACAAACGTTCAGAGTTGAACTGACATGATCTAAATGTCAGGAATACAGATATTGTCAGGACACAGATATTGTCCAGAGAGATATTCAAAGCACATTTAAAGCACAGTTAAACTATTAGACAAAAGTTATTAACAATTGTTTGTTATTCAAAAATATTCAAAGCACAGTAAATATCTCTCTGGAAAATTTCTGTATCCTGATCTTTTGTGATGAAATGGTACAAGCACTTATCCGAAATAGATTAATTGTAGTTCGGACATGCACAAGAGTAGCTCATATTAAATTGTCTTCAAGAGTATAGGATAGTTGGAACTTGTGGGTTAATACCTTCAAAAATAAGTGTTAAAAACTCTCAATGAGAACTTCTGAATCATTCAAATAATAAAATTATTCCAACAGTTTAAATTTGAGGAAAATAATAATAATAATCCTTGCATTTGATATAGCGCTTAATTATGTCCCACAAACAGTCGTAGATTGAAGATGACCAATTTAATTATTGTTTTTAGTTTTGGAGGGATTATTATTAGGCGTGTGGAGTAAGGAAACTTGCCCAAGGTTTCGCCCTGCCTGGAATTGAACTCAGGTCTCTCACTTGCAAAGCGAGTGCTCTAACCACTGAGCTACAGGACTCCACAATAACATGCTTAATTAAAAATATTGTTGCTGTAGTTGATTTCAGCATAATATTGAAGTTTGGTGGTTGTAACATACAATGGAATGTTGTTTATGTAACATTTCAATCCAAACAAAACTGATGATAATGGGAGTTACTGAAAAATACTTTAAACATTTATATTTAATCTACACTGTGAGTTTAGTTGTTTTTTGTTCTCACATAATAGTAAATCATCGCCACATTGCAAATCATAATGGTTCTTTGCCAAATATTTAAGGGTGGGACCAACTCAATAACTTTGGGAAAACTGACTAGGATGTCTCCCAAATTAGCTCTAGTACTTACTCGTATTTAACCCACCCAGCACAACATATTTGTTTCCTGCTTTCTACATTAAATAATTTAATGTTATGGGTGGTTCACAGTAATAGTTTAAATCAAAAAGCCACTATCATGGTGATTTTATTTTCTAGACAACTTAAACCAGCGATATTTGGTCACTACTGGACAGTTGATGAGGAATTGTGTTTCACTGAGGAAGACAGCAGACATTTTAACAAGCTGAACCAGATTCCCAGAAACACATGTTCTTGACGTCATTAGGACATCCAAACTGTTTGATCACATTTCTCTTGGCAAAGTGCCCAATTACGTAATCTGAGAACTCATTACATGCAGGAAGCTGCTTTTTCACTAACAAGATTGAGAACTATTAAAAAGGAAAAACGCTGGAATAAATTCTGCTCTTGGAGACAGCTAAAGCATTAGAGAAACCAGGAATCTAGGACTCCTATGTGAGAATGTTATTGAAACTATGAAGACTGCATAAGGTAATGTACAGTTGTTACCAATATTTTTAATTTTATTCATAGTTCTTAAAGAGTCCCAGAACGGAAGGAAGAGTTTAATAGTTTTATTTTTTATAACATTTGTAAAATAAAAAGCTAAATATTGGCAATGCTTGCAACTAGTGTGCATAGCTTTCTCTTCAAAGAGTCTTTTTTAAATAAGTATTGTTAGTTGTTTGTAAGTATTGTTAGGAAGTTTTAAAATCAGTCTTTAACTGATTTTTATCAAAAATACCTGTTTTGATGAAAGTTGATAATTAAAAATTATATTTTTCTGAAATCCTTTTAATCCTTTTTGCAGCAACCACAGGTCTGCTAACTGCCAAACAAATCATGTTCTTACAGATGACCTCTGAACCATGCATTGGTGCATAAATGATCTTGGATTATATATATATATATATATATATATTTATTGACAGCGTTGGCACCCTGTGTGTTTCTTGGCCCTATATTTCTCTTATTTGAGTGAAAAAGCAGTTTGTAGTTACGTTGTAAAAAAAAATGCATTCATTTTGTTTACCTTGACTTCTCCAGTCAAAAAACTGCACCTGAAAACTCTGGTCGAGGGATCCAAAACAAGGAAACATAATCTTAAAATTAGAGGTAAATTAGCTGGAAGCAAGTTCAGAAAATACTTCTTTACACAGGGTGCCGTGAAAATATGGAACACACTGTCCAGAATGCCATAGAAACAGAATTACTTGGTTCTTTTAAAAAGGTATTATGAGATGTGGAGAAAAACTGGGAAATGGGATTAAAAGATCTGCCATGATATTATAAACTGCTGAGTGGGCTCAAAAGGGCTGAATGGCCCCCTTCTGTTCCTACAATAGAGAATTTCTGGTGCTGAATTCATTGAATGTATAAAATGACACCACTGAAGTATTAACATAACATTAAATTCCTTAACCAGCTAGTTGACTAAATAAATTGTTTGGATGGCTTATCATATCTTGAGCAACAAAGTTAGTACTTGAAAGCACTCAGCAAAATGTTATTAATGGTTTTACATTTCCACAGCTGACCATGAATTTGGCAATAATTTAAAGCAAACCTGAGCTCCATAGCAATTTCAACAGTAGCTGAGTCAGTTCTACAGTAATTTAATAGTTTTCGAATGCAACCATTACTAAATAGATTTACCATGCTAATTAAGAAATTAACAGGGCTTGTTGCTTGCTAATAAGTGAGTTGGAACACCTGGAATTAGATTTTTGTCATTCAGGTGTCTTCAAGAGAGTTCAGNTTTTTTTAAATGGCTGCTTTCATATTTTCACATCACATATTTTCAGTTTTTTTAAATCAGGCATTGCTCATCTTACTGCAATAAACAAACTAGAACTCTGGCATAATAAAATTTCCACCAGCAACAATCTCTTAACTCTCTCTCATTCCCATACATTTTTCTCTCTCTAGCCCTCAACAATGCAAAGTTGACTAGAATCTTGAGGTCTTTCCCAACAAGACTATTTTATCTCTTTTACACGTTCACTGCTTTCACATTGAATCACCACTTATTGCAGTTTTGCTTCCCAAGGGGCTTGCTCCCAAGGAAATTCTTTAATAGTAAAGTAATAAGTTCATATTCCAATTTTGATTGGTCATGCCCTATGACATACTTAAAACTTAGATTACTTATGTCCTTTTTATGACGTTTTACAGTTCTTGTTTGATGCAAACCATTTCATAATTGTATAGTTTTAGGTTAAAGTCTCAAAAGGGAGAAACTATTGACTGACATTTCAAAATTCTATAGCTTATGTCCTCAATTATGTGACATACAATCTTATCAAATGCCTTTTGAAACCCCTTCTCTTCCAAGAAGGCTACAGCTTTCAGTCACAAACAAAAACGTCTTTCCTGTGAGGCAGTAGTGTGTATGGATGCCATAGAGTATAAACGATTGTTTATAACAGCTGGACAAAATAAGTGCCCATTCCCCTAGCCAACTGTAGTCTTTCATAATATGACAGAGTGGATGGGATAACATTTATTACACAAGAAGTTTTGTGTGGTTATCAATAAAATCATTCCCATATCTGTCTAACTCTTCAGTGTGCTACTATGCTGCAAGTGACACATGGAAACAAGCAGTATTCTGTTGAGGGGCAAAAATACCCACCTTATAAATGAAATGCTAATTTAATTCTGAAGGTATCTGATCAGCCTCTGGTTTTAGAACACAGATATCACCCACAGAGCCATTTCTCAGCTCAGAAAAAAACAGGTGATAGGAAGAAAAAGGTAAAATCAACCAAAAGTAAGGTAGAAAGAGCAGAGTGATACAACTGTGTGCACTTTTACATCTCCACTCTGGTTTTGTTCTCAGAACTTTTTGTGCAATTTTCTTCTGTGAGTCATGGCTCCACCTTCACAAACATAGTTAGTTACATGCCTACTGGATTTTGTCAAGCAAAAATTCAGAAATGTAAGTCTTAAATATAAATCCAACATGTGTAATACAGTAGTAGGATAACAATTTATCGCTTTGCAACTAATTTCTAATTTCAAAGTTCATGTTGTGATCCTGGATCTTTTCCATTTTTCTAATTTGATTACTGAAATGCGCACACAATAAACCAACTGTGATCTCCTTGTACAGGGAACCTCATTTTAAACTGTCCCTCGGGCTCAAAAGTCCCACTATAAGTGGAGTCCCTTCTTTTAAAAAAAGGCTACAGTTCTCCCAGATTGTAAAATTGCCACTGATCACTTCTTGCACATTGTACACCATCATCCTTCCTTCGTTAAGTAATGTCAGCAGAACTTCCTTGGTTTAATGTGCCATATGCAGGAAGTGATGTCACTGCAACCTAATGTCATGGCTATTTGTGGTCTAACTGGCTGCCATATATTTGCCTTCAAATTCTACCTACTTAAACTCCCCCCCCAACAAGCCTAAATAGTGGTCTATTCTTCCATGGGGAGGTGCAGAAAGATAGGAAATTACAGAAGAAGTCAATATATCCTTACTCAACAGCCACACACGTCCTTTGCACAGCAATTAGTAACACAAACTCTGGTCAATTTTTTTCCTTTCCCTAAGAAGGTAACCCAAGGACTCCAGCTGAGATCATCTAACTCAAAGCAGGATCAAACCTGGCAACAATCATGGTATATTATACCATACCGTGTATTTACTCATGAAGGACTTGTATAGATTTTCTTTCAGCCTGATCAATCAAAATTGATATGAGAGGAAATGGGAATGTTACACATCGATAGCTTAGTTTATTACTGCACTAATTCTACATATAAAACTTCCAATAATTGTGAATGATATTCACTTCAAACCAGCGCCTTGGGATGTCCTCCTGACGTGAAAGGAGCTTTACAAATGTAATTTTGTTTGTCAGACATTCCTGTGTGCATATTGGCTGCTGCATTTACATACAAATACACTGACATTAAACTTCACAGGAAAATCCTGTAAAGGTCTTTCAAATGTCTCAACACCATAAGGTATTATATCAAGCCTAGGTTTTGTAGTTGAACAATGAGAATACCATATTTTGGTCTTGCTGAAAGGCTCAGTTAGCAGCACTCTCAACTATGAGTCAGAAAATTGTGGTTTCAAGCCCCACTTTGGGACTTTGAACTCATAATCACAACCACCACTCAATGCTATTCTGGTGCGTGCACTGCATTGCTAGAGATGTCATCCTTTGGATGAGATATTAAACCAAGCTCCAATCTACCTGTTCAGGTGGACATCAAAGATCCAATGGCACTATTTAAAAACAGAAGATAGTTTCTCTTGGTGTTCTGGCCAACAATCTCCCAAATAATAAAAGGTAATCACTCCCTTCAAAAACTAGGTTTTCTAGTTGAGTAGTGAAAATACCATAAACATGAAGAGTCTGCTAACATTTTCTGTATCTTCAACATACTGAAAATATTTTATTTTCACAGAAATTGAAAGAAAATTGTAAAAAGCTCCAAACAAAGCAACCAATCTGCAAAGGAAGTTTAGGTAATGGTAGAAAAAAAACAAATGAATTGATCACAAGTACTCAATATGAAGGACCGACTTCAAGAGTTTAAACAAAGTATAAAGGAAATAGATCACACAAAGAAAGACAATGAGGCAAACACAAAAATAGAAGAAGATGTAGTCTTGAAACAACAAGCCATTATTTTTGAAAAGGAGCCAGTTCTGGAGCATTTCTTGATGGATGCACAGCGAATGCAAGAAGAAATCAATGAGCTGAACAACAACATAAAGAAACTGAGATACCAAAGCTCTACTATCATGGCCTCTATGCGCCGTTTCAGCGTCATAAAAAAGGACAATGTCAGCCTCATTAAGGACCTCAAAATCCAAGCTGAATCCATTCACAAGCACTTAGATGCTTTATCAAAAGATGTGAAACAGTCGGTAGTAGATTTTGGAGCAGACGCAGTCATTACAAGAATGAAGAAGAACCAACACACATTGCTGCTTAAACAGTATGAAGTAACCATATTGGAATTTAACAATGTTTTAATTAAAAAGAAAGAAAACTGTAAAGCATTTATACAGCGTCAGCTTGAAGTTGTTGGAAAAGATATATCTGAAGAAGAGTTGAATAATATGGTAGAATATAATAGATGGTATGTTTTCAATGAAAATTTTCTGCATGACATCAAAATTACTAAATCACAACTGTCTGAAATTGAGCAGCGCCACAAAGAACTAAGATGTCTTGAGAATCAGCTGAAGGAATTGCAAGACCTCTTCCTGCAGACCTCAATTTTGGTGCAGACACAAGGAGACTACATTGATAATATTGAAAAGACAGTGATGAACACCAAGGAATATACAGAAAGGGCCACGGAGGAAATTAAATTAGCAGCAAAGTATAGAAAGAAAAATCCATGTCGAACTTTGTGCTGCTGGTGTTTTCCTTGTTTTAATATTAGATAGTACCTGCACATTATACACAATTTGAGAGTATACTCCACCACAGCTACTTAGATACTAGTGATTGAACAATACAAGATTCAGTGCTGGGAGCTATATTGCCAAAGCAGTCAAGTTCAAATCCTCAGAAGTCAATTCCATCTCTGGCTTAGGCCCACACCTGAAGTTTGACACATAATTGTGGCCACTGCAACATAATCGCACTATCCAGGCCCAAAAGCCAATGCTAAAAGTAAAGAGTCTGATCCCCAATGTTAAAGAAGATTGAGAATGACTCAAACACTTACAAAACATACCAAGCACATCCTGGACCAGCCACCAATAATAGTATTATGCGGCTAATAACAATAGATAACTTACATTATGCAAACTCAATTGTGCTTTGATTTGGTGAGAAACTTGCTTTGGTACAACAATTTGCTTGTTTGGTGAGTTGGGTATCAGACTCACACATTATGAAGCTGAGTAGTATCCAAATCAGACAGAGTTCCACATGTGTATATATAAATTATAAATGGATGTTTCTCATTTGTCTGGTATGGAGTACACACTCCCCAGAGAGGTGCACCATGTTTGCCTTATTCCAGAGAATATAAAGCACAGGTTGCGAAGAGCCAAGGTTTGGAGACCCCATAGTGTACATAGGAGTACTGCTGAAGTTTAACTGGCTAAAGCAGCATTTAACAACAAGATTAGGAGGTCGCAGAGGTAGGGTGAGGCCATGGAGGGCTTTGTATGTGAGGACCAGGATCTTGAACTGGATCCTCTGAAGGATAGGGAGCCAATAGAGTCGGGAGAGAGTGGGGGAGATGGGGTCACAGAGTTTGGTGCGGGAGAGGACACGGGCTGCAGAGTTCAATATTATCTGCAGCCTGTGAAGGGAGGAGTTGGGAAGGCCGACAAGCAGGGCATTTGCATACTCAAGCCTGGAGGTGATGAAGGCATGAACAAGAGTTTCAGAGGCCTGAAGGGTGAGGTAGTGGCGGAGTCGGGCGATGTTACGGAGGTGAGGGAAGGCAGAGCGGGTCATGGCTTGAACGTGGGGGAGATAAGACAGTTGAGGGTCAAACAAGACACCTCGGTTCCTGACTGGCTTGGTGAGCTGTAGTGTGCAACCATGGAGGTTGATGCTGCCAGAGCCTGAGTTGCTGAGGCGCTGGCGCGAGCCAATCAGGAGGGCCTCAGTCTTGTTCACATTCAACTGTAGGAAATTTGCCCTAATCCAGGACTTGATATCCGACAGACAGTCTGTCAGGACAGCAGTGGTCCTGGAGTTGAGGGTGGAGGCAGGAAGATAGAGTTGGGTGTCATCCGCATACATGTGGAAGTTGACCCCATGTCTGTGGATGCTGTCACCAAGGGGGAGCATATAGATATTAAAGAGGAGAGGGCCAAGGACAGAACCCTGGGTGACACCAGATGTGACAGTGCGGGGGTTGGAGAAGAAACCGTTAGAGGCAACGAAGTGGAGACAGTGAGAGAGATTGGCATCAAACCAGGCAAGGGCAGATCTGTGAAGATTGAGTAAAGCGGAGAGGCGGTGTATGAGGATGGAGTAGTCGACAGTGTCGAAGGCGGCAGAGGTCGAGGAGGACAAGGAGTCAGAGGGAGCCCTGATCACAGATGTTCAGAATGTAATTAGTGACTTTGACCGGGGCTGTTTCCGTGCTGTGGGTAGCGCGGAAGCCGGATTAGAGGGGTTCAAAGAGGGAATGGCGAGAGAGAAAGGAGGGGAGCTCCTACACATTGACTTGCAAGCTTAACAGGAATTATACCTGAAGAATCACTGCCCCAATGACTGATCTACCCTTCTAAGTCCTGCCAATAAGTCAGGTTGGCTGATCTGTCGTTAACAATGAGTACTGTGGACCTGCCTGATTCAGCAACTAAACTACTGAGACTGCCACAAAGGATTGACTCCATTTCAATATTCGATTCCCAGGCACATCATCATGAAGCCAGTTCAGCCCCAGGAACACTCTGCTTACCACTTCTGCCCCCTGAGGATAGTTGGTTATTAAACAGTTTTGAGGCAGCCCTAACTAAGTGCATAGTAAGTACTAGGATCTCCTTATGACCCTCTTGTCTGGCATAAAATGCACAACAACATTGCCATCAACTTGGAAACCATCCCTATCCATTGATATAACCAACAGAAGTACTTGTCTAGCAGCAGGAAAATATTATGTTATCTTAAAAAAATGAATGGAATGCAGCAGGAATAATAATAATCCTTGCATTTGATATAGCACAACTATACTGATTTTCTACATAGAAAAATTGCAGTTGCTAACCTCCGCATTGCAGTTCTATTGCTATTTTTTAAGGTTAAAATAATTTGAAACAATTTCTAATGTTAAATTATAAAACTTTACTCTTTTTACAAAAGGATTTTAATATTTAAAAACATATTTAGGGAAAGTGTAATGTTTGACATTTCATATAAAATCAATTGTGAAACATTACATTTGAAATTGATTCCTTACACATGCACACATTGGTTGGCCATTGGTATTTTCAATTATCATTTGTAGTGAGAGGCCTGGACAAAACAGTGAGTATGTCACAGAACATCAAGTCACATAAGCTGCTATAGGNAAAAAAATAGGAGACAGCTCTATTATTTTACATATAAAAATAATTAAGACATATTCTATATTCACTACCACAGAGGTAACATTTAAAAAGTTTATTTTTTGTGTTACCCATCTACTGCTCTCTGAAGGTTAAAAGGTGAGAACTAACAACTAGGCTTTGGAATCATAGTCTATAAAGAAACAATATATAGTAATTGCATTACTATGCTATAGAATAATTTTCTGTCTGGTAAACATTCATATTTAGTTATTATTCATCTTATATTATAATACAATTTGAAATATGTATTTCAAAGTTTTATGATTTTTGTAGTTTTCCTGCACTTTGTTTTCATATGGTTATTTTGTAACCCAAGCTAAATACTAAATATTAAATCACTTTGTGGAATATGTAACCACCAGTATTTACTTACTGTTTAATAATACAAGAACGCAATGTTATAATTTTTTTGACTACATTTAGCTTGGCAGCATGCAAGAAAAGTATACAAGAAATATTATGAAGCCACAAAGGAACACAAAGTTAAAACATCATTTAGGAGCTGATGGGCCGAGGTAAAAATGCAACAATGGAAAGTGTCATCAGATCTCACGATATACAGCATCCCATGAATGATACTGTAGTAACACTATGTTTTGAAAGTATAGTAAAAATATAGCATTCAGTCTGCATTATAAAATGCATATAAATTTGCAAGCTCATTATCCCACTTCCTTGTACAAAATATTGGCTACAAAATCATAACTAAACTATCCCAGGCTTCAAATTGGACAAAACACAAAATACTGCAGATGCTGGAAATCTGAAACAAAAACAGAAGTCGCTGGGAACACTCAGCAGGTCAGGCAGCATCTATGGAGAAAGGAAAGTGAGTCAACGTTTCGGGTCCACAACCCTTCATCAGAACGCACGAAGGGTCTGACGAAGGGTTGTGGACCCGAAATGTTGACTCACTTTCCTTTCTCCATAGATGCCGCCTGACCTGCTGAGTATTCCCAGCGACTTCTGTTTGTTTCAAATAGGACAAAGCAGATCAGCCTGTAATCCAGCATGTCTGAAATCTCAAACATAAGATGTGTTTTCCTAAATTCTTCATTCTTATCTTTGGCTAAATAGTCTTTATCAGTACCTCTTATGATTTTGTAAATATTTTGTGGAATTATCTCTTGCCTACCTCGCTGACTGTTTCATCTACATCAAAAAAAAGCATTTATTTTATCATCTTCATTAATTTTATTGGGACAAAATTCAATTAAGAAGCGTTACACAAATTACCAGCACTCTACACACAAACACCAATGTAAATCATAAACAATACAATTCCATAAGTAAATATGCTTTCTATCACCTGGTACAAAAGTCACCTCCACTCACTCAAGGCACAAACCTGGATGCCCCAGCGCAGATGGCAGAAATCCAGCCCCAAGATTCACCGCCAGTTGTGGTTCGAGCACCTCTGCACCTAACCTCTCTCCCTTTCACAGGCCAAAACTGACTTTTTCTCCAGTCATTCTGGAGGCAAACAACAATCCAAAGATGCTGTTTTGCACTGTCATCACCTCCTCCGTGCACCCCCTCAAGCCCCCTCTATCCACAAGTCAAACGCCAAGTGCGAAGTGGTCCTAGACTTCTTTGCCTTAAAAATTGAAAACATCCGTTTGGCTGCATCGTCCCCTACATGTCCCCTTCCACCCCATCCAGACCATCCACACCGCCTTCTCCCTCTGCCACGGCTCCTGCCACTTCCCCCTCCATATACAACTTTGTCCCCATTTCTTCCTCCTCCCTCTCAATCATAATCACCCAGATGAAGTTCACCACCTGCTACCTTGACCCCCGTCCCCACCCAGCTGCTGGTCACTCAACTCCCCCTTCTCTTCCCCTGCTGGCCGTCACGGTCAACCAGTCTCTCTCCTCAGGCTCTGTTCCATTCCCCCTGAAAACCGCTGTGATCACATCCCTCCTCAAAGTGCACACCCTCAATCACTCTAATCTCACACACTACTGTCCCCTCTCCAACCTACCCTTCCTTGTTAAAGACCTGGAACGCACAGAGACAGCGCTTGTCAAAGTTACAAATGACATTGTCTCTATCTGTGACCAGGGCTCCCTGGATCTCTGCCACGTTCGATACAGTCGACCACGCCATCCTCCTCCATCGGCTCTCCTCCCTCATCTACCTTAGCGGGACCGCACTCGCATGGTTCAAATCCTACTTAACCAACCGCCTCCATTTCATCTAAGCAAATGGTTTCTCCTCCCGCCACTGCCCAGTCATCTGCGGGGTACCCCAGGGCTCCATCCTTGGCCCTCTTCTTTATCTATATGCTCCCACTGGGCGATGTCATCCAGACAGGGGTAAACTTCCACATGTACGCGGATGACACACAAATCTACTTTGCCTCCTGCAGTAGTAACTCTACCGATGCTCTATCAGCTTGTCTGGCAGACATCAAGGCCTGGATGAATGTAAACTTTCTGCAGCTGAATATGGCAAGATGGAAGCCATATACCTTGGCTCCCGTCAATGTCTTCATTCCTGCAGATCTAATCTCCTCAACCTCCCTGGGCTTTCCCTCAGACTCACCGAACTAGTGCGCAACCTAGACATCCGGTTCGACCCCCAATTGTCCTTCATCCCCCACATCCAGTCCCTGACCAGGAACACTTTCTTCCACCTTCACCATATTGCCACCTCCGACTGTACCTTATCCCAAATGCAGCCGAAACCCTCGTGCGTGCGTTTGTCACCTCCTGCTTGGATTACTCCAACGCACTTCTCTCCGGTCTCCCCAGGCCCACATTCACAAGATCCAGCTCATTCAAAATTCTGCCCTCTGCGTACTGACCAAACTCTGCGTACACATCTCATCAGTTCTGGCCAGGCTTCACTTGACCAAACAGATTGACCTCAAGGTCCTCACTCTCGTGTTCAAATCGATTCACTGGCACCTCCCTACCTTTCCAACCTCCTCACTCCCCACTCCAATGTCTCCGCTCGACTGGCACTGACCTCTTACTTGTCCCTTGGGACCCTCTGCCCTACCATTGGAGGTCGTGTTTTCAGCCACTACACCCCAAAACTCTGGAACACTCTCAATCAATCCCTCCACCTTGTCCCCTCTTTCAAATCCCGCTTGAAAACTTTCCTGTTAAACTGTGCTTGCAGCCACCTCCCCCGGGGCTTAGTGTCAAGCTGTGCCACTGTTAATCGCTCTGAGACACTACCCTGAGAGGAGGGCGCTTTATAAGTGCAAGTTGTTGTTTTCCATGAAGTTTATTTTTCTTTATAAACTCATTCAAACCACATAATCCACATAACTGTCAAACCTAGTTATAAGTGATTGGCATAAGAAATAGGATATAGGATTTGAACATGTGTGATAAATCATTAGTATATTTAGCTTTTTAAAAAAATGCATATTAGCTTTGCACAAGATAATTAATAGAAAAACCTGCAAAATACTTTATTATATGTTCAGCAGGGACACTTACACTAGTACAGGTTTCCCTGATATCCTGGGATGCCTTAGAACTTCAGTCACAGTATTTTTGGTTTCTTCCAGTCTGTCAACATCACTTGAGTCAACAACAAAAATAATTCCATAACATTCAGCATAATAATTCTTCCAAATTCCTCGAATTCGTTTCCCTCCTCCCAGGTCAAAGATGGTTACTTCAAATCTGTCCCGTTTTATGTCAATTTTGGAAAATCCCACAGTAGGAGCTATATCTTCTTGAGGGTCTGTGAAACAAAATAGCAGTAAATTTGTGCACTTACTCGAAGAGACGAGGCTAAGAACTAATAGATGGTTTGATCATTACCAATAAGATTTCCTGTAGGTAATTTTTATAAGCGCAGATAGCTGGATCCAATGTCTTAGCGGCACGTTATTCGTGAGACACAAATAAATAAATAGCCACCTTCCAGATCACCATGTGGTCACTGTGCATTGCTGTGCATTATTCACATAACATCCTGTGTTCTACACACAAGTCAGAAAAATCTCTGATGCCACTTTCTTTGAGAACTTAGGCAACGTTTAGGAAATGAAATAGCTAGTCAGTACAGATGCTGGGTGTACTGGGCTTTCACATTAAAAAGCAGTGTTATTACAGTTACCCTGTTTTTCCAGAGCCTTGGGACATCCTCCCAACGTGAAAAGCGCTATATGAATGCAATTTGTTAGGGTTGTTGCTGTATTACGAATGCATTTTTTTCTGGTAAAGAACTGAATCATTGGATTTGTTTTACACAATGCTTAACACACTTCTCTTTATTCATATGAAAAAAGGCCCACTCTAAAATTTCTTAAGATGCAAGCATAGAAGCCTAGTATTAAGCAGTATGTTCAGTATGAACTACTCTAAATGCCTAAGATTCTCAGAGGTAGGCCAGTACAATGAGTATCTGTATGTCTGAATTTGAATGGAAGCCCAAACTGAGCTTTACAAATTAGGGGTTACAAGGGTTATTACTTTCTATCAGTGTTTATTATTGTGTTTCAGCCATATGTCAACATAACCATCAAAATCAATTTACAAAAACACTTAATTTCTTACCTCCTTGAATTCCTTTTACAGTAGCAGTTTTCCCAGCATTATCCAATCCCACCAATACTATTGTTACCTTCCTAAAAAAAATGCACGGAATTTCCAATTTACTATACTCATTTACAAAAGATACTTTTTGTATGTGCTACACTGTAAAAAAGAAATAGATTAACCTACAGATTGCAATAAATTCTCTGAAGTTCTTCAGCTGCAATGTTGGTTCAGTGATGCAAGTTTAGTACTTACAGTACTACACATTTGTTTTACGGAATTCTTACAATCTCACGTCCTCCCCCCATGCCTTCAAAACACTTCAAAACTCCCTCTTTGGCACATTCCTCTTACTCCCATATTTCCCCATCTTGCTTGAGTTTCCACACAGATCTTCAAGATGTTTGTTTACATTAAAGGAACTATACAAGTACAAATTGCTATTCCAATTGTACAGAATGTATCATCACATCTGGGAATTCATTACAAGGGCTTTCTGAGGCTGTAATCAACAGAATCATTCAAAAGAACAGGATAAGCACTTGAACTGTAAAACATTAAACGATATTGAAAGAGACCAGGAAAATGGGATTTATATAAAAAGTGATTTAGAAAATCAGGTAGTATTTTAGACATGATGCGTCACATAGCCTCTTCCTGTGCAGAAAATTTATATGTTTTTATTCTTTACATCCAGCCTCAATACCCATTAGTCATTATATTTTCCTTGCCGATAAGAACATATTATCACATCGTTGAGACATCTCAAAAGGCTTCATGACATTTACTATAAAGTGAATTGTGTATTTTTAAGCAAATGTGGCTGCCAATTTAATAATCATTGCATTTGATATAGCGCTTTTCATGTCTTCTAGACATCTCAAAGCGCTTCACAGAATATGCTGTAAAGTGAATTGACCGTATATTTGTGGGCAAAACGCGGCAGCCAATTGCACACAGCAGTGTCCCACAAATAATCGTGGATTGAAAATGACCAATTTATTATTGTTTTTTGTTTTGGAGGGATTATTATCAGGCGTGTGGAGTAAGGAAACTTGCCCAAGGTTTTGCCCTGCCTGGAACCCACACAACGCCAAGATGTGAATGACCAATTTTAGTGGGAGGATAATTGACCAGGTCCTTTCTCATTTTGAATAGTGCCATGGGATATTTAACATCCACCTGAACAGGCAGACAGGGGCATCGGTTTAACATATCATCCAAAGTTGACATTTCCAACAATAAGGTATACCGTCGACCCTGCATTGGAGAGTTCCAGACTATGTGAGCCCCAATATAGTTGAGCCCACAGCCTTCTGGCCCCAAAACTATGGAACTCTCTGCCTCAATCCCTTCACCTTGCCCCCTCTTTAACCTCCTCTTCAACTGTGCCTAAAGGTAACCTTCCCCAGCTCGGTGTCAGGCTACAGTGTTAAGCTTTCTGAGACACTATTGGAGCAGAATTATTTGAAATCATACCTGACAGGTTCTCGCCATAGTCTTACCCAAGTGCAGCAGTTAGCCATGAGGCTAAACATATCTTTTACGAATTCTGTGAGTAGAGAATTTAGGATGAGCATACAACCATTGAGAATTAAACATCTGGAACGAGAGGAAAATCAACATAAGATTTAAAACAACTTCAGATATTGAATTCCTTCTGTACAGAGTAATAACTCCTCATATATGGGACATTAGTATACCATGAATTTATTCCAATCTGCAGACTTGGGGAAAAAGAGGCATCCTCTACTTTATTATTTAGCACACACAATATTTCATTCCAAAAATATATCCAGCATATTATCATTCAAGGCTCTCCAGAAAAAAAATACTTTACCTCCTGTTTCCATGCATACATCCTAACCACAAATGAATTTTAAGATTAGTTATTTTTGTTATATCAAAGGCACATGGACTTTTACTTGATCTCCATTAATAGTTGAATTCTATTTGTAAAAAATAAAATGTATTTATTTCCCATGAAAGGTACAGTATAAGTGCAAGTTATTACAATCTTCCATAAGTAAACAAACTAATCGCTTACTCAAAAGTAAATAAATAAAAATTGTTGTTATTTATTTTATGTTTTTAAACTACATCACTAGAAAGAGAAAATAGGATATTGTATAAGAAATGATGAGGCAACGGCACGTTGACAATGTTAGAAAACACTCTTGGGTAAAAAAATAATATGGTGCACAAACCCCACTATCATGCAGATCCCATCTTTCTGCTATATTCTGTCGCACAGCTACATTTGCCAAGATCCGTGTCAAGCAGCTTCTGGAGTAAAGAAAAATGGGAGTAAAAAACATATACAACTTTGTACATAGAATCAATCGTAATTTCTGTACTTCACAGCTCAAATAGTAGGCAGAGCTAATATTAATGCTTAATACTATTCATATATCACACGGACTGAATACATGTCAAAGACATGTGCTTTATAGAAAACAAAGCACTTATGCCAAGCCTCACAAGCACTACTAGAATAAAAGCGAAATGTAACAAAAAAAGGACTAAATCTCCAAACAAAGCAGAACTTGACAATTAGCTGTTACTGGCTTTACATTTTATTTACATTATTTATTTACATTTGTGGAGTCCTGTAGCTCAGTGGTTAGAGCACTCGCTTTGCAAGCGAGAGACCTGAGTTCAATTCCAGACAGGGCGAAACCTTGGGCAAGTTTCCTTACTCCACACAGAGCCTAATAATAATCCCTCCAAAACAAAACAATAATAAATTGGTCATATTCAATCTACGACTGTTTGTGGGACATTGCTGTGCGCAATTGGCTGCCGCGTTCGCCCACAAATATACAGTCAATTCACTTAACAGTATATTCTGTGAAGCGCTTTGGGACGACCTCCCGACGTGAAAAGCGCTATATCAAATGCAAGGATTATTATTATTATTTGAATTATTGTTTCATTTTGGTCACCCCCCCCCCTGCCCTGACCCTCCCTGCCCTCCACGCCTCTTGATGCCAAACCCAAGCTCAGGTCCCTGACATTCACAGAGATGCAGCGAAGCAAATTAAAGTGCACTCAAGGTAACAGACTAGGGTTAAAAAATCAAGCACGTGCATCTCAGACCAGAACAGGCACCGTGTTGGCCAAACCGTCTTTATTTACAAAAGAGGATGCAGTTGCAGTGGCAAACCGATGTGCAGCAAACACCCTGTAAACTCTCCCCGACACGAGAGATAACTTTTATCAAGTACAGCAATGCCATGAGTGGCCACGGAGGTACTTTCTTCCCTTCCTTCCTTCTCCAACTCCGCTGAAAAGCTGCACTGGTCACGGTTCCCTCCCCTGGCGAGTTGCTGCGATGGTAACCCGTGTGGGTGTCTGTGTATGTGGGACACAGGTCGTTCAGCCGCACACACCGTCGACCTGGGCTTCTCACCAGGGCCCGGGCTCAGCTCACACGGCAGCCGAGGCTCAGGCCGCCCGGCGCCAGGCCAAGAGGCAAAGGCCAGACCGCTGGCCGGAGCCGACACCCCCCGATCCCGGGGCCGAGACACGACAGCGAGGCCGCGACCTGACCCCGCGCCCGGCACCGGGGGAGGGGGGGGGGGGGGGGGGCCGCTCCCGGGAACCGCCGCCTCCGCCAACTGGCTTCACAAGTGCCGAGAGAAGCGGCTTGTGGAGGGGCCGCCGCCCCACCCCACCCCGCGGTCTGCAGGTACCTGAGGTGTCCGCGCCGCCGCCGCCGCCTCCTTACCCGGTGCCGGTCGCTCCGGTGACGCCGGTCGCCCTGACGACGCCGTCGCCACGAATGGCGTGCTCACGTCATACGTCACGGCGTGCACGTCACGTCACACGTCACGGTGTCGGAGCCCTTTGTTCGTGTAACAATGAGCGAAGCTGCTGCTGTTGATGATGATGATGATGAGGAGGAGCAGCTGCTCATCTGGTGGCTGTTTGGGGGCAGCTCTGTGGGTGTCTGACACATCAGGAAACCCATCATCATTGCTTATGAGTATCCAAACCAAACTGAGATCGCCGTACACCCACCAAACATGGGAATCCCAGGGATGGCTGTTGGAATGGAATGCACACTCCCGAGGGACACGTCCGGCTTCCCTACTTTCGGAAAGTATTAGACGCAGTTTGGCAGAGTGCGCGTTGGGGTACTGCTGGAGCTAAAGCGGCAGAGCTTGCCCTTGATGTCGCTGTCTGGCAAGCGAGGACCATCCTATCTGTTAGGGCTTTGGCTTGCAGGGTTAACAGAAGTTTCCTTAGGGTAGTGAATTTATGAAATTCTCTCTCCCAGAAGGATGTGGATGCTCAGTCCTTGAACATATATTCAATATTGAGATTGATAGGTTTCTAAAGGATAGAGGGATTAAGGGATATGGGGATAAGGCGGGCAGATGGAGTTAGGTTAGAAGATCAGCCATGATCTTATTGAATGGCGGGGCAGACTCGAGGGGCCGAATGACCTACTCCTGTTCCTAATTCCTATGTTCCTATATTCCTTCTTGCCACCGTCAGAGCCTCCATACTTTGGGTGCTGACAGCATTACCAGTCTTTGAAACCCTCTACACCTCATTGAGTCTTGGCATCTTATTTAACCCTCAATTGTCCTTTAAACCCTACATTCATGCTATTACCCATTCTATATTCCCCCATGTCTGCAACATCGCCCGGCTCCACCACTGCCTCTCCCCTCAAGCCGCTGAATCCCTCATCCATGCATTCATCACATCCAGGTTCGATTAATAAAATAAATAATCCTTGCATTTGATATAGCGCTTTTCACGTCGGGAGGACGTCCCAAAGCGCTTCACAGAACACAGTGTAAAGTGAATTGACTGTATATTTGTGGGCGAACGCGGCAGCCAATTGCGCACAGCAATGTCCCACAAACAGTCGTAGATTGAAAATGACCAATTTAATTATTGTTTTTGGTTTTTGGAGGGATTATTATTAGGCGTGTGGAGTTTATGCTAACTCCTTACTTGTCGGTCCTCCCAATTCTTCCCTCCACAGTCTGCAGATTATTCAGAACTCCGCAGCTTGTGTCCTTTCCCACAATCTTGAAGTCCATCTGTTCGGTGATGGGGAGCCAGTGGAGCCTGATCAGAACTGGTGAGATGTGGATACGGAGTTTGGTCCAGGTCAGTATGTGGGCGGTAGAGTTTTGAATGAGCTGGATCTTTTGAATAGTGGAGCTGGGGAGATTGGCGTGAAGTGTATTTGAGTAATCTAGGCGGGAGGTGACATGCGCATGCACAAGAGTTTCGGCTGCATTTGGGGTAAGGTACAGTCAGAGATGGGCAATGTGCGGAGGTGGAAGAAGGTGGTCCTGGTCTTGGACCAGATGTGGGGGAGGAAGGACACGTGGGGGTCGAAGCAGACGCCTAGATTGTGCACTGGTTCGGTGAATGTGAGGTGGCCGTCCGCCCACACCAAGCTCCGTAAATGTATCAGCTCCATCCTTGCCCGGTTCCACTGGTTACCCATCCCCCAGAAGATAGTTAAAAATCTTTGTGCTCACTTTTAAAACTTTCCATGGCCTCATGAAGGTATTAACCATTGATAATAGTGATTACCCCAACTTCACTGCAGTGTCTTTCTTCGCTCTGCTGCCCCAATGAACTTTCACAGTGCTTCTTTCACACCTTTGCGCTCCAATTGCCCATCACAATCTGTCCCTTTGGGAATTCACCAATTGTGTTGAAGCCAAGGGATGCAATATAATCGCAATGGTACAGTCTGAGGGAATTTCTTTGTTAACCCCTTCCTCTCTCCCCACTACCATCTCCATTGTTCCCTATTTTGAATGTATCTTATTACTATTACTATGTATTACTTATTACTAGTATTACTTATTACTATGGTTCCAGCCACTCAATTAATTTGTTCTAAGTTGAAATATTTGAAAAAGCTTTGGTGTTGCATTGTTTTGATTTTTTAAAATGATGTATCACAGAAAGGAAGGACTCAGCTTTGGCCACAAGTCACCAGTTTGTAAGTTCACAATTGCAGTCTTCAGTAGGAGAGATCAAGTAGAGGCCATTCGTTTCATTCCAGAAGTATTTTTCATAAATTTTGGGTTAAATGCAATAATCCCAAACATGGGCCACATGTGTGCCACATGTAAACTATGTGTGCCTTGCTCAAGGGCTACTCTCCAAAATGATTTGTCACACATCAGCACAATAACAAATGCTCTAATGTAGACAAAGAAAACCTCATACTGGACCTTACAATTTGTCTAGGTTCATTCTTCGATAGAACTTTATGTGTGATTCTAAATGAACTTACAGATAAAAAACAACAGCAACAAATTGCATTTAAATTGCACCTTCCATGTTGGGAGGATGTGCAAAGGCAAATTGTAATATGTTTTTGTCTTTACAGATAAAAGAAAAAATGGTAACAAGTCACATAAAAAGGGAAGGACTCAGAATGATGACAGCTATGAAAGTATGGGGAGAGTACCATGTTAGAGATAACAGAAAAGTATAATTGGCTCAATTATGCCAGAGTGATCCAAACAGCTCTCCTGTCCCTCCCATCAAAAATGCGTAAGTTGAATACTGATTTTGCAAAATGTAATATTAGGACAAAATGGTAGTAACAACAACAACTTGCACATATATAGCACCCTCCACGCAGGGTAGCATCTCAGAGCGCTTAACAATGGCGGAGCTTGATTCCGAGCTCGGGTGTGCCGGGGAGATGGTCGTAAGCATGGTCGAAAAGGAAAGTCATCAGGCGGGACTTGAAAGAGGAGAGAGAGGGGACAAGGCGGAGGGACTGGACTGAGGCAGATTGTTAGAGAGTTTTGGGGTGTAGTGGCTGAAAGCATGACCTCTGATGGTGGGGGGAGGGTGCAAGGGACGGGCAGGAGGCTGGTGCCAATATAAGGAAACTAAGATGTTTATGTCCAGCTGCCTCAATTTGTTCAGAATGCTGTTGGAGTCAGGGTTCATGAAGGTATCAACCCATTCGTAAGAGTGGTTGCCAAAATAGTAACAAAATGTTATGAAGATAATATACCAATAAGCATTTTTTTGCTATTACCACTATGGTTTTTCCTCCGGCTCCCGCACTGTCTCGTGCGGTGTCCCTCAGGGCTCTGTCCTCGGTCCCCTCCTCTTCACCCTCTATATGCTCCCCCTTGGTGACATCATCCGCAGACATGGAGTTAACTTCCACATGTATGTGGACACCCAACTCTACCTTTCCTCCTCTACCCTCAACTCCATGACCACCGATGTCCTGACAGCCTGCCTGTCTGACATTGAGTCCTGGACGAGAGACAACTTTCTTCAGCTCAACGTGCGTAAAACTGAGGCCCTCCTGATTGGCTCACGTCAGCGCCTCCGCACCTCAGGTGCTGACACCATCAGCATCCAAGGCTGCACTCTCCACCTCTCAAAGCCGGTCAGGAACCTCGGCGTTTTGTTCGACCCTGAGCTGTCCTTTCTCCCTCACATCCGCACCACAACTGGCACCGCCTTCCATCACCTCTGGAATGTCACCAGACTACGGCACTACCTCACCCCTCACGCGGCTGAAACCCTGGTCCACGCCTTTATCACCTCAAGGCTGGACTATGGGAACTCTCTCCTCGCCGGCCTTCCCGCCACCTCCCTCCACAAGCTGCAGGTCATTCAGAACTCTGCAGCTCGTGTACTGTCCCGCACCAGGCTTCGGGACCACATGACTCCCACCCTCGCTCGCCTCCACTGGCTCCCCACCCCCCAGAGGATTAAATTCAAGATCCTCATCCTCACCTACAAGGCCATTCACGGCCTTGCTCCCTCCTACCTCTCCGACCTACTATCCCCCTACCTACCTGCCCGTACCCTCCGTTCCTCTGGCTCCGGTCTCCTCCACATCCCCCTACCCAACCGCCCTACCATCGGTGGTCGGGCCTTCAGCCTCTCAGCCCCTAGGCTCTGGAACTCTATCCCCCAGTGCCTTCGCCTTGCCTCCTCCCTTTCCTCCTTCAAGGCTGGTCTCAAAACCTTTCTCTTTGACCGTGCCTTCAGCTCCCCTCTCGACTCTCTACCCCCTCCTCGCTTCCTCCCTTCCCTTCCCTCCCCTCACCCTGACCATTTCCCCCCTGGTCCTGACCCAACTGTACAGCGCCTTGGGACGTTCTCCCAACGTGAAAGGCGCTCTATAAATGGAATCTTGTTGTTGTTGTATCCTATATTGATTAATGGAATGAAGAAAAGCACTGAGCAAAGTGAGCAAAGTTTTCTGCTCTGTTGCTCTGCTGCTCTGGCTTCTCCTGGCATTATTTGGTACAGACATTACAAAAATACATTTAAAGTGTCATTTTTGTCACTGAGTTGTTGATGACTTGTAATGCTAGGTGATTGGGTATTTCTGAAGGTCATTTCTGCAGCATCAGCAGTAACTCCTGAAGGTAGCTTATTTCTGAACTTCATCTGAGAAATCAGCACAACCTCTTTAAAATACAAGCGATCCATACACAGATATACAAAAGGAAAGAATGGAAAAAGGCTCAGAAACTCATCACGTCCACCATTATGGGATACTTCCCACCCAACATTCTTACTGCACTTCTGTTGTTAGCCACTCAGTCTCCACCCAGGTGTGAAATCTCAGAGAAACCAAAACATGATGTGGAGTATTTCTGTGCTAATTGAACCTTTGGGTTGTGCCTGGAATTGTGCAATTTTCTACAATTTTTTTCAAAATTGCATTTCCCAAGACAATGGTTGATTTGAGGCAAGTAGTTTGCTTTCCAACCTTTACAACAACAAGGGAGGGAGCGAGGAGGGGGAAGAGAGTCGAGAGGGGAGCTGAAGGCACGGTCAAAGAGAAAGGTTTTGAGACCGGCCTTGAAGGAGGAAAGGGAGGAAGCAAAGCTCTTCTTGCCTTTTCTCCAGCCAAGAAGCAGCTCCAAATGATGTATTGGGTAGAGATGAGCTTGTGGATCAAGAGCTCATTGATTCAATTCCCATTCCATGCTGAGATTGCTGGAATCAGCCAGGATGCTAAATTGGTCCTCGGCAATTAGGAAGCGCAAACATAGTCAGGGTTCCTGCTCCTTATCTATCTACAGCACTCTCTACAACAACAACAAATTGCATTTATATAGCACCTTTCACGTCGGGAGGACTGTGAAGATAGTGAAGGATGTGTACCCAAGCTAGAGGATGGAATCAGGAAAGGTGGAGGGCAAGGTGGATGAGGGATGGGGAAAGGGCAGAAAGGCTGAAGCTCGACTGCTGCTGCTGAAGCAGCAGGGCAGGGGACGTGGAACAAGCGAGTGTCCGCTGAGCGGATGATGTATGGATTGCATGATAGGTCTACAGGTTGTGGATGTGTGTGGCTGACATGTGGAGAGAGGTCAGACTCAGCTGTGATACCCTCCAACTCTTGTCACCTGCAAACGCAATGGCCATTTGGGTGGTGGTAGGGGAAAAGAAAAACAAAAGACAATCAAAGCACATGGAACCACACTGCAGCAAGAAGAGGCCATACCAGGAGCAAAGGAGTAATGGGGAGGAAAAATAAACAATATTTTTATAAACATTATAACTTACATAAGGATTATTATTATAGAATTAAAAAAATTGGGACTATTTTTTAACAAAAGGAATACTCCGACTGTGACTGATTTCTGACTTGAGAACGTTCCATTTTCAACTGTAATATGTCACAATAAATTGCAAAACAAATCTTCAGAAATACCATATTATATTTTTACCAGCCATAAAGACTGTGGTTACTTGTTGTGGGTCTTTGTATAGAGGGCACCTAGTAATAGTAATAATACATGTACACTTTCAAGTGATTTGGGGGAGAATTTGCTGCATTTCCTTGGGCTAATATTCACAAGGAGCTGAAACACCACAAATTAGACCTTAATAAAATAAATCTAATAAATTCCCAGGTTCATTGGTGTCATGTTTTAATTTCTGGAGGGGAGGAGTATTTTTCCTATGAGATCCCAAACCTGTCCTGACATTCCAAACCAAGCTTTGGAGTTTGGGAATTCACACCACCTGGAAAGAACCTTTCAAGGTTTAGATTTTGGTGTAATTTGACAAACTTTTTAAAAAATATATTTTGCATGGATGGTATTTTATGAAAACCATGTCCACAGTTAAATGTATTGTAAAAAGGCAACTGTCCCAGCAGCGTCCATTCTTTTCAATGAATGCTCCAAACCTGTAAAGATTAAAGTGCTGCGAAGCAAAATCTTCTGCTGGTCTCATCTTCTTGGCTTACATTTGTCAGTTAATGTAACAAGGTTTGGCCAGTAAAAACCTCTCTGCATTACCGGTGGTTTGCAGGAGCGTCTTTCAAAAAAGTGCATCATTTGATTTGCTAACCAGCGACTTCCTTGTTGTGAATCAATGAACGCTTTAGATGTCGTTGCCAAGTCGGGGCGTATAGGGTTAGGTCAACAACATTGGCAACTGACTCCACTTCCTGAACTTTTTTCTGTAAACTCCAGAGTTTAGCTGTTAATATCTGATCTACTGCAGTAATGTAACTATCCTAAGTGAGCAGTAAGCTCTATTGTGTCCAGGTCCTGCCCCTCCTCCCCAGCAATCAGATATTAACTCATTTATTGCATTAACTGTATTTTTTAAATCCAAACATTACGTCCTACAGTGCAGTAACCAATAGCTACTGAAAGTCATACTGAAAGTCATACTGAAAGTATGACTTTCAGTAGCTATTGGTTACTGCACTGTAGGACGTAATGTTTGGATTTAAAAAATACAGTTAATGCAATAAATGAGTTAATATACTGAAAGTATGACTCTCATTGGTCTGTTCCCGTAATTCTGATTTAAAACCCACATAAAACGTGAGGAAGTTAAAGATCTTCTCCACAGTTTCACTGTCAGGTATTCCAGGGAAGATGAACATACTGGGCATCAAACTGATATTCTTGCAACTCTTCACTGGACACTTGTGTAAGTCCTCACTGTGTTTTGTATAGATTTTAGGGGAACACATTAGGAGATATTTCAAATGTTTGACAGCATTGGGGCTGCATTATTTTATTGACTTTGTAAAGTTTCATTCGGAAATATGACTTTGCGATTGATTGCTCTGGTAGTGCAATGCTCGTAAAAGATGCAAATGATTTTGTGGTTATATGGTTATAAGAGAGTGATGGAATTGAAGTTTTGCAAATCTTTCTTAATTTGAAACGTCAATTTTCCTTTTTCGGCTGTTTTTAAATGTGTATACTCTTGGATCCCCCAAACCTTAGCTCTTAGCAAAATGCCCCTAACATTTTCCAGGAGTAGATAAGCAGGGTGCATCCCTCTGAGGAGAGTGGGGGAAGAGAGAAAGGGGGGTAGGGGGTGGGGGGAAAAGAGAGGAGAGAGAGAGAGAAAGGGGTGAGAATGTGTGACAGCAAATGGAAATAGAATGAAGTAGTTCATGAATTATAATTCATATGTAGAAAATAACGATATGGGCATTTGAAGAGGATAAATACTAAGAGATATATACTGTATAAAATTAGCAAAGATCTTATACACTGTCTTATTCTGAAAAAATGCATGTTTAATTATACTTTCTGTGTTACAGGTTCAGCACAGAAAGTGGAAACAGGATTATGTAATTCATGAATTATTTTGAAAGGAATTATATAGATAATAATAATAATCCTTGCATTTGATATAGCGCTTTTCACGTTTTCTAGACATCTCAAAGTACTTCACAGAATAATAATAATCCTTGCATTTGATATAGCGCTTTTCACGTCGGGAGGACGTCCCAAAGCTCTTCACAGAACACACTGTAATGTGAATTGACCGTATATTTGTGGGCGAAATGCGGCAGCCAATTGCGCACAGCAGTGTCCCACAGACAGTCGTGGATTGAAATGACCAATTTATTATATTTTTTGAGGGATTATTATCAGGAGTGTGGAGTAACTCTGGTCCACGCCTTTACCACCTCAAGGCTGGACTATGGGAACTCTCTCCTCGCCGGCCTACCCGGCACCTCCCTCCACAAGCTGCAGGTCATTCAGAACTCTGCAGCTCGTGTACTGTCCCGCACCAGGCTTCGCGACCACATCACTCCCACCCTCGCTCACCTCCACTGGCTCCCCATCCCCCAGAGGATCGAATTCAAGATCCTCATCCTCACCTACAAGGCCATTCACGGCCTTGCTCCCTCCTACATCTCCAACCTACTATCCCCCTACCTACCCGCCCGTACCCTCCGTTCCTCTGGCTCCGGTCTGCTCCACATCCCCCGCCCCAACCGCCCTACTATCGGTGGTCGGGCCTTCAGCCTCTCAGCCCCTAGGCTCTGGAACTCTATCCCCCAGTGCCTTCGCCGCCTCCTCCCTTTCCTCCTTCAAGGCCGGTCTCAAGACCTTTCTCTTTGACCGAGCCTTCAGCTCCCCTCTCAACTCTCTACTCCCTCCTCGCTCCCTCCCTTCCCTCCCCCTGACCATTTCCCCCCTGCTCGGGTCCTGACCCAATTGTATTGTGCCTTGGGATGTCCTCCCGACGTGAAAGGCGCTCAATAAATGGAATCTTGTTGTTGTTGTTGTTGTAAGGAAACTTGCCCAAGGTTTCACCCTGCCGCAAATCGAACCCAGGTCTCTCGCTTTACTATACAGTAAATGCATCAATCATCAATGATGCATTTGATTGGTTTGCAATACAATCAAGCCCATCAGACTTACTATAAAGCTTTCCATTTTCATACAAAATTTAACTTTATAATTTGATTTATTTTAAAATGCAAAACCCATTTAAATTCAGACATTGGTGATCTTTAACTGAACACACAGGTTATACATGATGACTTAATTATCATGCAGTGCTATGGAGTAAAAAAATGACACTACATTGTAAATGGATCTGCAAAAAAAAACGCTGACGCCACTTCTGAGGTATAGGAAGCACTGAATACCAAAGGGGACTGCACTTTCAGTAACCGCAGGTCCTCAGGAGAATTAAGTGAATTTTGGCTTGAGCACGGTGCTTAATAATGAGTTAATACCTTCTAGAGATATTCACTTAAATATACATACATCGACTTAGATTAAATTCAGTCTGTCCTGCAGCTAAAACTTAGCATTTACACCATTAAAGTTCAAAATGAATTATAAATGATACACATCAACATAAAAACTTCACACACTAGGAAGGTGGCGGCATTAACAATGATTTTTTAACATACAATGCAAAGCAAGCATGCCACAGAGATGCAAGGGATAATTGTACCTCAGGTGCATGGAGTAGAATTTCATCAAACAGGCTTCTAGGTTCCCTAAGCTTTCCCTGAGTAGCAGGGTGTTAAGCAGAAAAAACACAAAATATAGGATAACATTGATAAAGGGGCAGCAAATACAAACCATGAAATCAATGCGATTTGTTAACTATCATTCACTTTTTGAAAATAACTAAAAAATCCATGAATTTAATACAATGCTGTATATTTGCTTAATAATAGTAAAAAAAGTTTTTTTTAATAAAATATTTGAACCAAAGGGCAACCATTTGCACAGAACAGCGACAAGGCTGATTTCCAGTATTCAGAAAATTAAATAAGGAGTACAAAATACTGTAAGTTAGAGCTCTTCAGCCTCGAAAATATGCAAGGGAAGGAAGAGAGTAGTGAAGTCGGGCAATGTGGGGGAAGGCGGGTAATGTGATATTTGAAGAGGATAAATACTAAGAGATATGGGGATCGAACAGAAGACCAGGATTAGATTAGAATAATTCGTTCACTTTGGAGACAGTTACTGTGCGTATTGTGAAGCAATTTGAGATGTTCTTGACATTATAGGTACAATAACAATGCAAGGATTTTTATGATTACACTACCCACAGAAAATAAATTTGTTTCCTACCCTTTTGTTTCCAGTCCACACCTGGGTCTAGCAAACGTTATTCTCTTCAAGTGCACGATACTGTATAAAATTAGCAGATTTCACATAGTTTTAATCTGAAAAATGTATGTTTAATATTCTCTATGTGTTGCAGGTTCAGCACAGAAAGTGAAAACATCTATGAATCATGAAGTGGTGTTAGGGGGTAATGTTACCTTCAAATGTGCATTAATGGGTTCAGACGATGTTCTACAAGTCACCTGGCAAAAGCTAAATGGTCATTCTGAGAAAAACACGGCTACATTTAGTAAAAAATATGGATCAAATATATTTGGGTCATTTGAAGGTAGAGCAACTTTCATCCCATCAGAAGTAACAGTGTCCATAATTAATCTTTCTGGAGTGAGGTTTGAAGATGAAGGATGTTATCAATGTCTCTTCAATACATTCCTAGATGGAGCTAAAGTTGGGAAGACCTGCCTTTCGGTGCATGGTAGGTGGTAATTATTTTTTATATATTTGAACACATATGAATAATTGTGGTTAGTATCTATTTTGAAATTAGAGTTGCTAATATTGATTGATGGTAACCAGAAGTGCCATAACCAATCTACAGGAACTTCAATAAGCAAATGGGGATTATTTTGGGGCTGAGGTTGACGTGACCCACCTCTGTTATAGCTAAGAGTTGGTATTTGTTGTTGGGTGTCTATTACATGTCTAAATTGTTGAAGTTAAGCTTGTGGTTATGTCTTGCCATGTCAAATGTTAACTATTACCACAATGTTTATATCAAAGAGGAATATCTGTTATATCACAGAGCTTTACAGCTATTGAATATTTTGTTCTTCACATTGTGAAAGGGCTTTGGACTTCCTGTATTGCTTAAATATCTCAGTTAAGTATAAAATGTTATTTGTTCCTTTCCAGCTTTTCTATTATATTTTATGCCATTTGTCCTTTTCTTCCTTTTCAAGTAATGCCTGAAGCAACACTACAGTCCAGTGCCACTGATGCTGCTACAAACAGTAATGGCTCTTCTGATTTTGTGGCAACTTGTTCAGCCACAGGACGACCAGCTCCAGTAATCACATGGGAAACAACGAGCAGTGTGACTGTACTGTCCACCCAATCCTCAACAATGGTCCTAGATGGAAGAGTAAAGATCACAAGCAATCTGACAGTGGCTAAAGCTGGTGCTGCTGATTGTAAAGTGATCTGTGTGGTGAATCATCCAGCACTGAAAAGGGCAATCACTTTAGAGGATTTTCTTCAAACAACATGTATGTATTCCTGTTCAGAATTCATCACACAATTGTAGAATATTACAGCAGAAAAACTTTCAGCCATCAAATCTACCCTGGTGATTTCTCTACCTGAACCACCTTATCAAACTTTGATTGCTCCGAAAAACCCTTAATATTCACCCACAAAATATACAGTCAATTCACTTTATAGTATAATCTGTGAAACGATTTGAGACGTCTCGAAGACGTGATAAGGCGCTATATCAAATGCGAGGATTATTATTACTCCACTTTAACCATGTATCAAATTACTTTTTAAAATATTTATGGACCCTGCTTGAACTACAGTGAGGCCCAACAGGATGAGTGCTCTTTCATATCACCTCACCCTACCAAAGATCTCTATTTGGTCCCTTCTGAGCCTCAGCTCTAGCGAAAAACACCTTTACTTCTAACATTGAACAGTACAAAATATCCTACTGAATCTATGCTAAAGGATTTCTATAAGTTTGCAGGGCTATGGGGAGAGAGCAGGGTAGTGGGATCGATTTGGATAGCTCTTTTCAAAGAGCCGGCACACACACGATGGGCCAAATGGCCTCCTTCTGTGCTTATATCATTCTATGATTATATAATTTCTATGGCTTTTATATTAGGGATATTTTATGTCTTTCTTTAATTATGTAAAGGTATATATAATATTCCATCTGTGCTCCTGAGGATTACTGTTGGACACATGTCGCTTCTGTATGATATCAATGGTTAACATTTTAAAAATATGAAACATGGAACACTAAACACTATTTTTCCATCAAATCAGTTCCAAGTGCAGACGACCCAAAGCTTATTCTGTCATGTACTGTGGAAAAGTTGCCGAAACCCTTGTCAATGCCTTTGTCATCTCTCGGCTGGAATACTCTAACAACTTTCTCGCTGGTCTCCCCGCCAGCATTCTCACCAGCACCAAATTTCGTACCCCGATTACTCCAGTCCTTGCCAAACTCCACTGGCTCCCTGTCACAGAGCAGATCGACTTCAAGATCCTCATTCTAGGGTTTAAATCCCTTCATTCCCTGGCATGCCCCTATATCTCTAACCTTCTCTCTCCCCACAGAAGTATCCGCTTCCTCCGCTCTGCTGGATCCGGCTTACACCACGTCTCCCAAATTCTCGGCTCCACCATAGGTGGCGGTGCCTTCAGTCTCTACGCCCCGAAACTTTGGAACTCCCTCCCTCAACCCCTCTGTCTAGCTCCCTCCTTCCCCATCTTCAGATTACACCTGAAGACCTTCCTTTTCGATCGTGCTTATGGTCACCTTCCCCCTCCCCATGGCTCGGCCTTGGGCTCCACCATTATTAAGCACTCTGAGACGCCGCCCGGCATTTGGGGGACTATATAAATGCAAGTTGTTGTTGTACTCTACAGCCTCAAATCTCTGAGAGGAAAGATTCATATGGATATTACTAATTCTCCCAAAGAACATCCTTTTCACCAGTTTCCCTAATCTGCAGAAATTTAGCTTCCTATCTGCCAATGGACATTATTTCATCCTGTAAATATTTTGTTTCAATATACCCAATTTTTAGCTCCATTAAAATCAGTCTATTTCTTGGTCTATCAATTTGGTTGGTCATTGTTCTGGAAACAACTTGGTGACATATTACAAAACTGCATGGAAATTCAACCATCATTGCTCCTCCTACTGAGTGAGCTTTTCCTGTTGATTGTTGATTAAAGAAAGACGCCGTCCGGCGTGGAGGGCGCTATATAAATCCAAGTTGTTGTTGTTACCTTTTGTCAACCAGTTATTGATGCAGGTAAATAATGTCACATTTCCAGGTTTATTTCATAATGTTTTCCCGCATTTTACTTGCAGCTTCGGATCAAGTGAAAAACAAATCACCTATTTTGATTGCATGTGCAGCAATTATTATAGTGGTGGTATGTCTGGCAATCTGGAATTGGAGAAATAAATTGAAAAGGTAGGTTTACCTCAGGGCAGGTAATTTCTGATTATATTTCCTTGTGTTGCTTTGTACAAAATGTCTTGCTTTCTTTAAATATGTCTGTGGACAAATTGAGAACAAATCCTTATCATTGAGACCAACTGAAGCAAGCCTAGTATCTCTCCATTTGAGGTCAGTTAATTTAGTGGAGAATAAGGATTGAACCTGTGACCTTGCAGAAAAAAGTCAATAAGTATTGTGACTATTTTACGGAAGTCCTATTATTGAATAATCAGCATCTGATTAATATTCTGGCAAATAAGTAAAAGGAGCTTGCGTAATTGTTGTGCCACAATGTGATTAGCTGTTAGAAGCAAATTAAGTTCTAATGTGATCCCAAATTTACCAATTATTGATGTGTCTCGCGGTTCGATCAGCAAGGAGCAGGTTGCCTTGTGTTCTCGTGAGGAATGTGTGGAACAGGTTGTGGCTCTGTATAGATCACAGAATGTCGTAAAGTTGAGGGGAAACCCATCTACATTGCGTTCAGTGATTTTCAGAAGACTTTCGACCTCGTGCCTCATGAGACCCTCATTATGAAACTGGAAGCCATGAGAGTATGTGGCCGAACCTTGGATTTTATATTTTATTCCAGCTCCAAGATCCAGGTTGACAGGTTGACAGTGGATTTACTGAGCCCATCCCACTGGATAGGTGGGTAAGGCAAGGCTGCCCATTGTCACTCACATCCCTCACCTTGCCCGCCCCACCATTAGCAGGTGTGCTTTCAGCCTCTCTGCCCCCACCCTCTGGAACTCCATCCCACAGTCCCACCTCATTGAATGTGCCTTCAGTCACCCTCCTATCCCTGCCCTCCATGCCTCCTAATCCCAACCACCAGCAGGAAGACCTGGAAGGGCAGACAAGTCACTGGAGGCAGAGTCATTCCACTCAGCTCCTATTAACCATGCAAACCAAAGCTCTATTGGATAGAGTGGTCCTAGCTGAACAAGCAGTGGGAAAGCTTGCAATCAATGGCAAGCTATGTGGTTTCAGCTGGTACTCACTGGAGTCTCCAAGCCTTGACTCCTGACAACCTGCACCTAATAATTTCCAGAATTAAGCAAGCAGGATGTGTCCCTCCAGGGGGAGAGTGCACATTTCATACCAAAAATCTATCTCTGGGATTTCCAGGTGTAGGTGGTATTCTTGGAAGTTTCAGCTTGGTTTGGGTATTATTAAGCATGTTGATGGGTTTCCACACGTGTCAGACATGTGCACAAATCTAAATTGAGGAATACATTGCAACAGGTTAAATATTTGCAGTCTCACCACACAAGTGAAAAGTGACAGAAGATGAGAGATGATAAGAAGCAGACAAAATTAGCAACTCCTATTACAAATCATTGCAGATTAAATATCAGGGAGATCAAATGACTGTTGCTAGACTTCAGAAAAAAGACTCTTAAAGGGAAGGCTACACATTGGATGTTGGTCTAATTCTGTGGTATATATTTGCTAGATACGCTGAGAATGAGGCAGTTCGTCAGAGTTTGGATTCAGTTTATATTATACATTTGGTTGATATGTTGACTTTTCCTCTTTTTTCGTTGATTAGTTTGATTCAGAAGCAGGAACCAGGAATTCCGCCAAATACCAGGACAACAACAATAATAACAGAGGGTCGCATTTTGGAGCTATTAAATAACCCAAATGATCCGCCTGAAGAAAACATTATATCTATACTTAACCAGAAAATCAAACAAAGATTCTCTCCTTCAAAAGGGCAAAATTATACTCCTGAAAAGGAAAAATTGAAATGGCGATCTCCTGCACGTCTTAGAAATTTGACTTGTCACAGTCAAAATAGCTCACCATACAAAATATTGGGTGTATCATCCGAACACGTAAATGTGAATATAAACTATCCTTCAACGCCCAGTTCGTACTTAGGTGAAAGTGCACAATGTGAACAATATGAGGTACCATGTGCCACAAACGAAAAGAACTGTAAACGATCATTGCTGAAAAATCTTATGGTTCAAATAGAGTAGTCAAACTAAATTTTCTTTCATATAAAATATCTTTCACTTTTGTTGTTTGAATCTTCATTATTTTTCTTCTTTTCATTCACCAATATCCAACAAAAAAGCTCATAACTTTCTTTAAAACAAAGTGCTAGGTAAATGTCACACGCCCTTGTAACAAATACTCATATAATACAACTGATCCAACCTGTTAAATCTCTTTCCTTCATATTTTACTATTCAATTTCAATTGATGATGTGTTTAAAATTTTTAATGTCTGTCTGTATCAATGCTGAAAAGCTTTACTTGTGGTCATAAAAAGCTTTGTTTTGTAAATAAGTTGTCGAACATTAGAATAGTTACTCTATTTTCTTTAACTTGTTCTGTCAATTCACAAATAAAAATGATCAAATCTTCAAATATCAAATGTGATTCTTTTGATTCACACACCATACAGTATATTAATATGAATACAATCAAATGCTGCTAGTCACTGCAGGTGCACCCACAGTACAGTATAATTGAAGTATGGAATGCTTTCAGCACAGTGTGCAATCATAATAATAATCCTTGCATCCTCCCATTTGATTTAGCATTTTATCACATTAATCAAAAGTTTCAAGACCCTACACAATATTTATTGTATTTTTAGGTGAACACGGCAGCCAATTTGCACACAGCAATGTCCCACAAACAGCAATGAATGGAGTGATTAATTTATCTGGGGGATTGCGGGACACTAGAATCAATTTCCTTTTGTTTCAATAGTGCCATGGGATCTTTAATACCCATTACAATCTCTAGGAACATGAAAAGCGATGGAGTTGTGGTTAAAATGGTAACCGTTTACAAGGAGTCAGGGTTCCAAACGACTTTGATTTATCACTCAGTCCACTGGAGATAGAATTGGTTTTACATAGGAACAGGCATAGGTCATTCAATCCATCAAGCCTGTTCTGCGGTTCTACTAGATCATGGCTGATCTGTACCTCAACTCCAATTTACGGCAATCATCTCTTTGTCAAGACCCTCACATGAACATTTGGGTTGAGCATTTGGCATTAAATAAACCAGATACATGGCATTAGACTTGGATCTCTAGAACATCAAGTGTGGCTGGAACTACATAGGCCCTTAACCACATGTTCATATATCCAATAACGACATCTTGCATTTATATAGTGCTCTTCACGCGGGGTAGCATCCCGGAGTGCTTTACAGTAGCGGAGTCTGATGCCGAGTGGGAAGGTGACTGTAAGCACGATCAAAAAGGAAAATCCTCAGGCGTGATTAGGAGGTTGGGATAGAGCAGGAAAGGCGGAGGAGTTGAGGAAGAGTTCCAGAGATTCGAGGCATAGTAGCTGAAAGCATAGCCATTGAGTTTTACATACATTGAATTTAATGCAATGTGGAGCTGCGGAGACCAGCAAGGATGGCATTGGAATACAACAACAACAACAAGATTCCATTTATAGAGCGCCTTTCACGTCGGGAGGACGTTCCAAGGCGCTGGAAATCCTTGCATTTGATATAGGGTTTTTCACGTCGGGAGGACGTCCCAAAGCGCTTCACAGAACACACTGTAAAGTGAATTGACTATATATTTGTGGGCGAATGCGGCAGCCAATTGCGCACAGCAATGTCCCACAAACAGGCGTAGATTGAAAATGACCAATTTATTATTGTTTTTGGTTTTGGAGGGATTATTATTAGGCGTGTGGAGTAAGGAAACTTGCCCAAGGTTTCGCCCTGCCTGGAATTGAACTCAGGTCTCTCGCTTTCAAAGCGAGTGCTCTAATCACTGAGCTACAGGACTCCTATAGTCCAGCTGGGAAGTGATGATGGCATGGAAGAGGGTTTTGTTTGCATTGGTTGTGAGTTATGGCACTCTCCCCATACTTTCATAGGTGTCATCATTCTGAATTGTTTCCTTTTCATGCAACTCGTAACTATTTTTTCTTATATCTGTAAAGACAAAAAAAATTACAATTCGTCTTTGTACATCCTCCCGACATGATTGGTCATTTTATTGTTGTTGTTTATCTGTAACTTCAAAGTGCCGGCACTGATACGATGGGTTGACTGGCCTCTTTCTGTGCTGTATAATTCTATTATTCTATGATATTGTGCTGATGTGTGACAGATCATTCTGGAGAGTGGCCCTTGAGCAAGACAAACATAGTTTACACATAGTTTATAAGATATTATCTTCACAAAAAGTTGTGTAGTTAATATACCAAGTAGCACGCGGCCCATGTTTGGGATTATTGCATTTGTCCCAACATTTATGAAATACACATCTAGAATGAAACAAATGGTCCCTACGTGATTTCTCCTACTGAGGGCTGCAATTGGGAACTTACAAACTGGTGATTTGTGGACAAATACCTGAGTCCTTCCTTTCTGTGACACAACATTTTAGAACATCAAAGCAATGCAACACCAAAGCCTTTTCAAATATTTCAACTTAGAACAAATTAATTGAGTGGGTGGAACCACAGTTATAAGAATTGTAGGCAGGAATACATTCAAAATAGGGAACGATGGTGGGGGTAAGAATGGTGGGGGAAAGGGGTTAATGAAGGGATTCCCTCAGACTGTACCATTGTGATTATATTGCATCCCTTGGCCTCACCACAATTGGTGAATTCCCAAAGGGACAGACTGTGATGGGCAATTGGAGCGCAAAGTTGCCAAGAAGCACTGACTGGGCCAGCAGAGACTAGAAAGTCACTGTGATGAAGTTGAGGTCATCACTATTAGGAATTGGTTGATAACTTTGTGGCCCCTGACTCCAACAGCAAATGGAGGCAAATGGACATTTTCTGAGCAAATGGAGGCAGCTGGACATAAACATCTTACTTTTTCCATCGAATAAACAATGGTCTGACTTTAGAGTTTGCCCCGGCTATCTGAGACAGGCAGAGCTGTATCTCAGAACCTGTGGAGTCCTGTAGCTCAGTGGTTAGAGCACTCGCCTCGCAAGCGAGAGACCTGGGTTTGATTCCCGGCAAGGCAAAACCTTAGCCAAGTTTTGTTACTCCACACACCTGATAATAATCCCTCAAGAAAAATATAAAATGAATAATAATAATTTGGTCACTCAATCCACGATTGTTTGTGGGATACTGCTGTGCGCAATTGGCTGCCACGTTTCACCCACAAACATACAGTCAATTCACTTTACAGTATATTCTGTGAAGCACTTTGGGATGTCCCGAAGATGTGAAAAGTGCAGATCCTGAAAACACCACAGACAAATTGAATGCAAAAAAGGAAGTTGCACTTGACCTAAACAGGCTGCTGGTCCAAAAGCCCTACCCATGCCATGCACTTTGGGTCAGACAAAGAGATATGCTCGCCAATCAGGAATGTATCATAGCTCTGCTTAAGGTGAAGCCAGGTGAAGTGAAGGGGCCTAGGGTAATAATAATCATTGCATTTGATATAGTGCCTTATCACATCTTCAAGAAGTCTCAAAGCGCTTCACAGAATATACTGTAAATTGAATTGACTGTATATTTTTTGTGAGCGAAACATGGCAGCCAATTGCACACAGCAGTGTTCCACAAACGGTCGTGGATTGAAGTGACCAAGTTTTTTTAAGGAATTATTACCCTGGAAAAGTGATCTGCCAATCCACTAACAACTGGGTTCCTACTTACTGCTGGGTAAACAGAGGTGTGTGGAGTAAGGAAACTTGCCCAACTTTTCCCCCTGTTGGGAATTGAACAGGTCTCTCGCTTGTGAGGCGAGTGCTCTAACCACTGAACTACAGGACTCCACATAATATGAAAGCCTCAGCTATTCCTTCCTCCAATTTCTTACTGTTCACTTTTTGCTGCCAACTGGAGTAGATCGCTTCCAAGTATCCAATATCAGCTATAGTATCATGAGAATCCGGTTTCCTTCAAGGGGAATTTGGTGACTCACTACAATAAGCAGAGATGATTCCTGACCCTAGAAGCTACTGATCCACACAAAATTCATTGCGTCCAACAGCCTGCTCCAAGTAGGGATGGTGGTGGGTGGGGGGAAGATAAGTACAGAATATGCGTCCTGACTTAAAAGAAGTACTTGCTGAGTCCGCAATCAGTTTAAGGCAGATTAGAGAGCGAAAGGCAAAACTCACCACTGTTGATGTGAGTGTGGTTGAATAAATAAAAACATGGGTCATGGCCAATGTCGAGATCACTATCCCACCTTGCCAGTCCTATTGTACAGACCTGTGTAGTTTGGTTTGTGCTTCTCGTTAAAGGATCTGCGTTTGCCTGCTTTATCGAGTTGTTCCTCGATACCGTTACACTAACCTGATTACTGTCAATTTTGTAAGGAAGTAAAGAGGTGCTGTTATTTTGTGCTCTCAGTATGAGTTAGCTCCTTGGTTGGATTGTTTTGCACGCAATCAAACCCACTGCATTGCAGGTAATGTAAAGTGATTTTGTATTCATCATCTATGAGTCAACTATATCTGTGGTAAGCATTACATCAAGGAGCAGTAAGCTAGGGTTTGTTTGCCTTGTTATTGCAGGTCTAACGTGTGGTTACCATTTAGAAATTCATAAGGTGCCCAAGAAGAATTAACCTGATATGCCGGAGGCAGACTCCTAACACCATTCTCAATGCCGACAGCCATAAGCCAGATAGCACATTCAGCTGACAATCGAGACTTTTTGCTAAGTAATTTGTTGAACAAGAAGCTGTGTTTCTGTTGACTGGAAGTTGAATGTCCACATCAGCATTTGAGAAAGGTGTTCAGTTGTCCATATCTGGCAAATCTATGTGCTATTTTATTTAGGTTATTGTTTAAAAAAGTTACTCAATCCACAACTGTTTGTGGGACACTGCTGTGCACAATTGCGTGCCGCATTTTGCCTACAAAATACAGTCACCGTGAAGCACTTTGAGCTGTCTTAACGACTTGATAAGGCACTATATCAAATGGAAGTATTATTATTATGGTTTTACCACTGTGAACAAGGGACGGACTGGGCATATGGAAAATCAGAAAATTTCCTGAGTGTCCCCGTGATTGGCTCCCGATGCTAACCATCCTGTGCAGCCTAGTTCGGAAGTTCCATTTCAGCCTGACAAAATTTTTAAACGTGCAAATGGTTTATGCTTTTTGGTACCCCACTTGAATCAGCATTCCCCCCCCCCCCCCCCCCGCCCAACGAATAAGCAACCCCATTTTCCTGACAATCCCAAGCCCTTTTGGGCAGTAGTCAGTCTGCCCCTGGTGAGAACCAACCTTTTATAGGAAATAAATAATTTGAGTTATAGTCATCTTAGTTTCTTGCGCTTGTAATATTTGAGTTATGTTGCCTGCCTTGCTCAATAGGTTACTTTACAAGTCATTTACAGATGTTTCAGAAGTATCTTCTCTAGAAACAAATCCTACTCATCCTGCAAAATTAGAATTCGCAGCTGGTAAAATGTTTTCAACAATACATAATTCACACGTTCTACAAAACAAAAATAATAAATGGGATAAGGTTAGGTGAAATCTCATCTAGTCTTATTCTGTTAGAGCATGTCATAAAATGTAAGATGCCTCAGATTTGTGGAAAATTCTTAATAATTTAATAATAATGTATTATTATTATTTATTAATTATTATTAATAATAATTTATTAAATTAATTAATTAAGAATTTTATTAAGAATTTTGCAATATTACCTGAAATTAACTGACCGGGTTAATGTTCTTTTAGAATGTGAAAAAGGCACATGAATTCATTGCAATGTAAGAGAGAGCCCTCAAATATACATTGCTTCAACTGTCTTGTGCTTAAAAAGAGTTGAACCCTTCACTCTTCTCCCACACACTTGTAATGAAATATTAAGAAAATTCTTAATAATTTAAAATTCTTAATAATTTCTTAAGTAACAATTTGCAAGCTGGTTTTCCTCACTTCTTGCAAAGAAACAGCTTTAAAATTGAGACTGAATTGAAACAAAATACACAAATAAAATATATTGTCTTAATTTTTTTAACAAGATCTTTCTAGTCTGACTGGGTGGAATTATACTAATAATAATCCTTGCATTTGATATAGCGCCTTATCACATATTTGAGACGTCTTAAAGCACTTCACTGAATATACTGTAAAGTCAATTGACTGTATTTTGTGGATGAAATGGGGCAGCCAATTGCACACATCAGTGTCCCACAAACAGTGGTGTGTTGACAATTGGGTTCCTACTTACTGCTCAGGTAAACATAGGTGTGTGGGATAAGGAAACTTGCTCAACAGCTCACCCCCTGCCAGGAACTGAACCCAGGTCTCTCGCTTGCGAGGCGAGTGCTCTAACCACTGAGCCACAGGACTCCCTTTCCAGTGACAAGTTTTCCAGGTCCCTTTCCTATGGAATCTAAATGTCTTCTGTTCTATATTTTAGTAAGTTTTCTCAGTCTCCACTCACCTCCACCGGTTGATCTGCTCCTGCGGCATCTCACAACGACCCAAACGATGATGGCGAACATCACAAGCAGCGCTGCAGCGGCTGCACTGAATGCAGCGACATCAACTCGAGTTACCACGGGACAACCTGGAAAATGAAAGATTTCCGCTGAGAATAAATGTCCCGTCGTGTTTATCAAATAAGCAAAGTCTGTTTGGCAAGTTACCAGTACAGCAACATGTCAAAATGCAACATCACCTGAAATTAACGGACCGGGTTAATGTTCCTTTAGAATGTGAAAAGGGCGCATCAATTCATTGCAATGTAAGACAGAGCCCTCAAACATACATTGCTTCAACCGGTGTGTGCTTGGAAAGAGTTGAACCCTCCGCTCTTCTCTTCTCCCACACACTAGCAATGCAAACGTCAGACTGGAAACATGTTGCAGGAGGTCAGTCATTCTTACCATTTGTCTCACTTGGGGGGACGAGGACAGAAAGGTCAGAGCCTCCAGCATCAGTCACCGGCCACCCGGCAAACCCCGTCACTGTGTGTGTGGAAAACAACTTAAAAGTGTAATTCATAATAATTAATAACCCTACAATGTTACACCTCTGCAGCGCAGCGCAGCGCAGTGCGGTTATAATCGCAGGTGAGAGCATTTCACAAATGTTTTGCAAATTACTGGCAGATTGGATAACTTTGTGCTCTTGTGTTTTTTTTTGGAGGGAGGGGGGGGGGTTAAAAAAAAAAGTTTTCGAAGCTGCGTTTCTCGTTGAGGGAGATAGTTCTGATTATTATTATTATTATTATTATTATTATTATTATTATTATTATTCCACTGCGGGTTATGTTCCGGTGACGGGGGGGGGGGGGGGGATTGCGGCTGCACTCGCACTTACCAGACACGTAGACTGTGAAGCTCCGGGTGAGCTCTTGGCCGCTCTGATCGGTGGTGACACAGGAATACTCTCCCGCATCACTCAGCCTGGCGCTGAGCAGCCGGAGAGAGCCATCGGGTTGCAGGTCAACGCGGCTCAAGTAATCGCCAAAGCGTTTGGTGGGATTATTCCCGCGGGGGTATACCTTTGCAATCGATCGCAGCCCAGAGGAGCGGCTGTGGTTCCACTCCACAGTCTGTGTGGTCTCAGCTTCGGCTGCGGATGGGATTGGGAGGAAGAGGTTCTCACCGACAGTAACGTTGATGACCAGTTTGGGGTTGACTTGAGCTGCCGCCAACACACCTGGAGGGGGGGGGGGAGATCAGCCAGAGGTTATTTTTAACTTACTTTGCTGAATGAAAAAGTCACCAACAAGGGAATCCATGTGCCTCCAGAGCCTTGTGGATTTCTGTACCTGACAACCCATAGGTGCACACCACAGCCAACAGGGACCAGGTCATTCGGAGTCGATGCACACACACACACTCGCTGCTGCTTTTGGGAGGAAACACGGATCGTTGCATAAACATCTGTGGCGTAACTGGGTCTCACCTCTGCTTAACTATGACACGGTGAGCGGAAGGAAAGAGAGGAAATGCCGAACCGGGCTGTGGAAATAAGAATGGAAATGATAAATTAGTGTGAGATAATGAGAAGCCTCGTTCAAATCGGGGTGACTGGCAACTTCCCGCAGTTGTATTTCGTGTTGCTGGTGCAATAATACCCATGGTTGGTTGTTTCAAACAAGCAATAATAACCCTTTCAAATTCTGTGCTGTGTGTCTTTACCATATACTTATTTCAACTGCACCTTGATAAAATACACAAAGTCAACCAGTAAGGCATACTTGTCGCTAAAATTTAAAATAACTAAAAAAAAATACTTTTGTGAGCATCCTGGAACCTTCAAGTTTTTAATCTCCAGGACCACTTTACTAAATAATAATAATTCTTATATTTGATACAGCACATTATCAAGTCATCGAAACATCCCAAAGCACTTCACAGAATATACTGTATACACTGTAAAGTGAATTGACTATATTTTGTGGGCAAAACGCTGCAGCCAATTGCACACAACATTGTCCCACAAATAGTCTTGGATTGTGTGATACCCAAATTATTATTATTATTTTTAAAGGGATTATTACCTCCAGAAAACAATCTGCCAATTGTCTAACAACTGGATTCCTACTTACTGCTAAGTAAACAGAAGAGTGTGGAAAAAGAAAACTTGCCCAAGGTTTTGTCCTGCTCGGAAGTTGAACCCAGGTCATCTCTTTTGCAGGGTGAGTGTTCTAACCACTATGCTACAGGACTCTACTAAAGTGTTAACATGTTGATACTTCTGACAGTTAACACATCCTCTAACTACTAAGAACTATTGTGCATATCAATGCAGAGAAGTGTGAAGTGTGACATTGTATATTTTGGGACTGTTTGAGTGTATCTGACCTGATTGCAACCAACATAGGGGCTGAGTAGCTGGGGAATCATAATTGAAAAAAAACTGATTCTAGTTTTGTTTATTAGGGCTTAGGGATAAAAGAATGGTGACCCTTATTTTCTTCTGTAAAATTTAACATCTCTGCCAGCGAAATGCAACTCTGCTGGTAAATCCTGAAAACAGTTGCAAAGTTGCAATGATTGATAGTGTTGTTAAAAGAAGTGAAGTGCAAAATAAATTCAAATGTTTAATTTCAATTGTCATTATCTCTTGTCACTAATCTAGATCGACTTGCACACTATTTTAGACTATTTATCATGCATGATTAAGAAGTCTCTTGTCTTTGCACAAATCAGCAGACAAATTGTGGTTTAGAGCACATCTTTATTTTGCAGAAATTGATGTTGATATCATGATCAGAGCATAAAACAAAAGCGATAGCAATATAGTCAGTCTACCTTTACTCATTCCTTCTTGTGTGGTTAAACAGTGGCTTTGTTCTGAGCTGGAATTTTCAGCACCTTCCCTACCTCAGGTAGTTTTCTACTCTAAATGGATTTGATCAGAAACCTGGGCCCACATATTGGTAAATAATTTAGCTTAGTGGTTAGCATACTTGAAAGCTAGAGGACCCGGGTTTGATTCCCGGGCAGGGCGAAACACTGGGAAAGTTTCTTTACTTCACCAGCCTCTGTTTACTTGGCAATAAGTAGGAACCCGGTTGTTAATCGATTGGCGGATCATTTTTCCGGGGGTAATAATCTCTTCAAAACTAATAATTATTTGGTTACTCAATCCACGATTTTTTTTGTGGGTCATTGCTGTGTGCAATTGGCTGCTGCAATTTGCCCACAAAATATACAGTCAATTCTTTAAAAATAATAATTATTTGGTTACTCAATCCACAAATGTTTTTTGTGGATCACTGCTGTGCGCAATTTGCTGCCGCAATTTGCCCACAAAATACACAGTCAATTCACTTTACGGTGTATTCTGTGAAGCACATTGAGATGTCTCGAATACATAATTATATCAAATGCAAGGATTATTATTTTTATTATTATAATTTGCTTTTCACGTCAAATTTAATACTTCACATATTTGATATTCCAGGACCAATTTGGTATACATACAGTATCCTCTGCCTGAACATGTTGATAGTTGTTAACACATTCTCTAACTGCATAGAACTTGTGTATATAGTAAATACAGAAAAATGTGAAGCTGTACATTTGGGAAGGAAGATTAGAAAATGGAAATAAACTCAAAGTGGTACAATTCTGAATGTAATGGAGGAACAGATGGATGTGTAGTACAGAGGATCATTAAAAGGTAGAAAAGGCAGTTAAAGGGCAACAGGATTCTGATTTTTATATTGAATTATTGAATTCAAAAGTAAAGAAGTTTTGAGTAAGATATTTTTATAAGATATTGCCTAGGGTACACCTTGAAAATTATTTGTGTTTTTGGGTGTTGAACTATAGAAGGGATATGAATTATGGAGACTATCTACAGTGTGGATTCACGAAAAATACCAAAGAGGGAATCTGTTCTGAAACATTTATTTCTATCTATTCCTAGGATTGCTGCAAGAACTAAACACCCCTGACTTCTGCAGAATAGATTGATCTTATTGAAAATAAATGTCATAGGAAAAAGCCTGAACAAGTTTATTTTTTAAATTCTAGAGGCAGCATTTGAGCGTTGCTTCACAGGATACCAACTGATACACACACACATATATATTATATATTATATATATTGTGTATATATATATTGTATATATATAACTCTAATATAGCATAAAAGTATGATGAGTACTATAAAGAGAAAAAACACAAAAGCAGTTCAAAAGGAAAGTTAATTACAAACAAGGGTAAAACTGTAAAAAAGAGAAAACAAATAAAAGAGCAGGAAACATTTTTGTTGTTGCTTGCTTTTATATATTGATTCACTTTTGGTATGATTAGCAGCTACTTACCACTGAGTGCATAGAACCCCAGTATCAAAACTGAGTCTTTCCTACCCATATGTGGTGTTTTTAATTTTTTATGTATGATATTTAGAAAATGAAAAAAAGTTAAAAAAAAACTTAATCAAAATATATCTGGAGTTTCTGAACTAACCATATATTTAATATTAAATGAAAAAAGGTAGAACTGAGTTGATGTTTTATGTTATGAGTGTTAAGAGTTCAAAATTGATGTGCTGATGACACAAATACCATACAGTTGAAATGTATGGTAAGAAACCACTTCACAGACTGGTTGTGATAAAATATTAGGCTTTAAGAGGGAAAAAGCCATCAATTATACAATATTACACAGCTGTTAGTATCAAAAAGGATGGGAATCTTGAAGAAATTGATTTAAAAATGTTTATTCTTACTTGTTTAACATCACAATATATATTTGGGTGTACAAACAAACATACATAGAATTGTTTCTTTTTTCTTTCCTTCCAGTCTAAAAGTTTCGCCTGTCCTTTTCCCCCCAAAGAGTCGAAATGTGTTTGAAACTGGATTTAATGATGGATTTGGGATTGAACACGGCTGGACCGTTCACATGAAGAATGGAAATATTTAGCCAATATCCTCTTTTGCTACATTCAAATGCTTATATTAGTTTATGTCATCCCATTAGTATAACACTGTTACAGTTCTACAGATGTTTGTAAGAGCTAACCCATAGGTCACATGGTTTATTTCTGAACACATTCTATTCACATTTTTGTGATACATAAATCACAGCAAGTTCCCACAAACAGCCATGAAGTGAATGACCAAATATTCCAGAAAATTAATCTGGAAGATTGTTGGCCAGGATATTGGAAGAAAATATTTCACAGCTTTGAGGCACTGGAACTCTATCAAAGGTGATAAGAAACAGAAGTTGTGATCTCTACAACAACAACAACAAGATTGCATTTATAGAGCGCCTTTCACGTCGGGAGGACGTCCCAAGGCACTGGACAGTTGGGTCGGGTCCCGAGCAGGGGGGAAATGGTCAGGGTGAGGGAAGGGAGGGAGCGAGGAGGGGGTAGAGAGTCGAGAGGGGAGCTGAAGGCACGGTTGAAGAGAAAGGTCTTGAGACCGGCCTTGAAGGAGGAAAGGGAGGAGGCAAGGCAAAGGGACTGGGGGATGGAGTTCCAGAGCCTCGGGGCTGAGAGGCTGAAGGCCCGGCCACCGATGGTAGGGCGGGGGGTGTGGAGCAGACTGGAGCCAGAGGAATGGAGGGTACGGGCAGGTAAGTAGCGGGACAGTAGGTCGGAGAGGTAGGAGGGAGCAAGGCCGTGAATGGCCTTGTAGGTGAGGATGAGGATCTTGAATTCGATCCTCTGGGGGATGGGGAGCCAGTGGAGGCGAGCGAGGGTGGGAGTGATGTGGTCCCGAAGCCTGGTGCGGGACAGTACACGAGCTGCAGAGTTCTGAATGACCTGCAGCTTGTGGAGGGAGGTGCCGGGAAGGCCGGCGAGGAGAGAGTTCCCATAGTCCAGCCTTGAGGTGATAAAGGCGTGGACCAGTGTTTCAGCAGCGTGAGGGGTGAGGTAGTGCCGTAGTCAGGCGATATTCTGGAGGTGATGGAAGGCGGTGCCAGTTGTGGCGCGGATGTGGGGAAGAAAGGACAGCTCAGGGTCGAACAGAACCCCGAGGTTCCTGACTGGCTTTGAGAGGTGGAGAGTGCAGCCTTGGATGCTGATGCTGTCAGCGCCTGAGGTGCGGAGGCGCTGACGTGAGCCAATCAGGAGGGCCTCAGTTTTACGCACGTTGAGCTGAAGAAAGTTGTCTCTTGTCCAGGACTCGATGTCGGACAGGCAGGCTGTCAGGACATCGGTGGTCGTCGAGTTGAGGGTAGAGGAGGAAAGGTAGAGTTGGGTGTCATTCGCATACATGTGGAAGTTAACCCCGTGTCTGCGGATGATGTCACCAAGGGGGAGCATATAGAGGGTGAAGAGGAGGGGACCGAGGACAGAGCCCTGAGGGACGCCGCACGAGACAGTGCGGAGGGTGGTGGAAAAGCCATTAGTGGAGACAAAATGAAGA